GATATGGATGCTACAATGGGACGGCCGGAGGATGGTACCTGCACAGAGGGGAACTGCAGCCCATGGAGAAGAACCACTTCCAGGTGTGCAGTGGATGGGTGCCAACAACGCGACCAGAGAAGCAGTGGACATAAGAAAACTGTTCATGGCCCACTTCAGTGAGGAGGGAGCACTGCCATGGCATGATAGTCATGTTCACCATAGGACTGACCCACAACAGCTCTTTTTAGAGCCACCCACAAAATACAAAGAGCCTAACTTCATTTCTCACATATATAATATACTGAGCCTCTTGATTATTAAATTGTAGACATTTTTCCTGGCCATTGTCCAAACCCATACTGATTTGCACTTTTCTGTTCACCTGTACCTTCTGTTTCTTGGTAATGACTGCCAAACTCCACTGCGACTCCACTCCGACTTCAGGTTAATCACAACATGCACATTCAAGCTGTTCCAAAATTACAAGGTTGTTCAAACAGAATAAGGTTAAATCAATTAAACATACTGTCAACAACTTTATTGCTCTTGTCATTTTTTTTAAGCGTTAATTATTCTTGCTTCTTTTATAAACCCAGTCAGCTCTTAAAAAAGTGAATGCGTACAATTATAGAAAATAGCAATTTCTGTCAGTATTATATGAAAGGTAATAATGGTGTGCTTGAAGTAGAAGAACAAATTTGAGGTTTGAATTTTTTTCTTTATACTGTAAAAGTCAAGAAACAAACACATAATGAAATCAAATAAATACAAAATGTACATATAAACAGAAATACAAAGGAGCTTGCTTGGAGGAGGTGCGGTGGAAGATGGAAGGACACACAAGTCTGTTTCCTCCCCTGCAAAAGGTGTCACCTTAAGTCAAAAAACTATTGTTCCAGATTAAGCAGAACGGTGATGCTTTCATATAAAAGTTTGCGCATTTGGAATTTCACAACATCTTTTGACTCAGGTGCCACCTTTTGCAGGAGAGGAAAGAGAGAGAGCAGGAAGTGATGATCGTCATTGTAGGTCTGGGGCGGTGCGGCTGCATTTTTGGCCCGTAGAGTCGCCAGCATCTACCGCTCCCACTCTGTTGGCAGCTATACAGACGTGGGCTTCTGCCAGGCTCTCTTCCTTTGAGGGCCTTCAAAGAACTCAGCGCAAAGAGTGTGTTAAAAAATGTGAACATGTTTCTCAAAAAATGAGCAACTAAAAGCTGTATTAAAGGCAAAGTGTGTAGACATTTTTAATATGTAAACAACTTTTAATTATGTGTTTGTGTTACAATAAACTCATAAACATTACAGTTATCAGTCAAATTATTATTAATTTTAAGCAAACTCATTTCATATCTGTGAACACAAACACTTAGCATAGATTTAGTACAAATTCCTACATTTACAAACTAATATCTCTAAAGATAAATCTGTAATTGTAAATATGCATTTAGTATATTTCGCAATAAAATTGTCTGTTAAAAGAAATTCTCTAATGTCAGCATTAAACACGGTAGCTGCCATCTTGTGGCAACCATTGCGTGTATTTGTTCAGTACATTTTTTGCATATGGTATTTTAGTAGTATGTTCAAAGAAAGAGGAAAGATACATTGTATCAGGCCAAAGCACAAATTCTCCTTTCCAACTGTAGTGACATCTTGTAGTTTCTCTGTACATTTGTCGTCTACAATGATATAATAGCCTTTGGATAATTTTGGCATATTATGCAGTAACACTTATTTTATATGCGCTGTCCGTTAATAAAAAAAAACTGCCACACCTGTAGGTGCAGAAGCAGGCGAAGTTCCAGCCTTCACATAAGAAGAAGCGGCAGAAGAAGAAGAAGCATGAGCAGGCAGCTCAGGCAAAGATGTCTTGTGTGGTGGTGGGCTGTGTCAGACTCGGTGCCAGAAGAACAAAAGAAATACAATTATTGCATAGCATGTGTATATTGCGCTTCATTGCATTCATATGTACATAGTAATGTACATTATTATTGTAGTTCATTAGTTCATTTGAAAGGGGAAAGTGAAACACATGATCAAACTTGGTTTGAAAAGACAGAGTAAGCCAAAGCCTATTTTCACCTGGCCATGATGTTTAAAAAGCATTAAAAAACATTCATACACAGAAATCAATATATAAGTAAAAGTATTTTTTCCCAACTGTTCGAGGTCTTTGTTTGCTGCATGACAACGACCTCCAGCACCTGACAGCCCTGCTGCGGCTGCTTCTTCTGGATCTTCTCCTGGGTGGTTGTACCCTGCAGCCTGCTCCTCCTCTGCCCTTCGTTTCGGCATGTTGCCCGAGCTATCACGGGGAATGATGAAGGACTCGAGGAAGGACATGACCACAAGGTACTTCCACGTCTGGGCTGTCCCTGCTTCTGCACCACTTTTCTTGACCTTCTCCTTCCTGATCTCTTAGCATACGTGTCCCTCAGGCTATTCCACCGATTTTTGCAAACTTCCACTGAATAATCACATCAACTCGTAAGCGGTACTAGTAGTTACTCAAACATAGATTTTTCGCGGGGAAATATTTACTATTGTGAAAAATTAAAATAACTTACCCGAGACACCAACCACCTCGCTAACCCTCCTTCAAGCAAGCTCCTTTTTATTTCTGTCCCGATAGCTTTGGTCCGCGGTGTTATAAAGCTCAGAATGAGCACCGACCTGAGTTATCAGTGTGTCCTCCATAGCTGCCATATCTGTTGTCTTCCTCATGTTTTCCCGGTCTACAGTCCTATTGTAAAATGCGTCACCACGTCACTATAGGAGAACGCTCTATAGTGAATGTGTCCAAAAAGTAAAACAATGTTCAACTCTAGCGTCGGCTGCGTTGGAGGCGCAGGACGCGCATCAAAACGCTTGCAATCTTAAAGTGCCGCGGGATCTTTCGACACTCCTCGAGGCGCGTCCCCCATCTGTTTTCAATGTAAACCTGACACTTTGGACGCTTTTTGGTCTGAACGCAGTATAAGTGCTACCCACCAAGAATATTATATTATTTTACAAACATCGGAGAAAACAATGCACAAATATGAAACAGATAAAATGTGTGATGAATTTGCAATGAATGAGGTAAAGGTGCACTTAATTATTCCCCGTAGGGCAATTCAACCTCTTCATTTGACCCATCCTGATGCCACTAGCACGTCTGAATCAGGAGCAGTGGTTGCTGTAGTACAGCGCCCAGGGACCCGTCTCCAGATGTTGATGCTCAGCTTGGTCAGGATTATCAGAGCTGGAGCATTTACCTACTGTAGAAGTTTTTTAGTTGTAGGGTAAACCGGAGAAGGAAACCTATGCAGACACATGCAAACCCAGAAAGACCCTGTTCTGTCCGGGTTTCGAACCCAGGTCATTCTTGCTAAGAAGCAAAAGTGCTATCCACTCAGCCACCGTGCTATGATATTCATGAGATTGAAAACACTTAAATATTGTAATGATTAGACAGCCTAATCAAAACCTACAGTGGGGCAAAAAAGTATTTAGTCAGCCACCGATAGTTCTCCTACTTAAAATAATGACAGAGGTCTGTAATTTTCATCATAGGTACACTTCAACTGTGAGAGACAAAATGTGAAAAAAAATCCAGGAACTCACATTGTAGGATTTTTAAAGAATTTATTTGTAAATTATGGTGGAAAATAAGTATTTGGTCACTTCAAACAAGGAAGATCTCTGGCTCTCACAGACCTGTAACTTCTTCTTTAAGAAGCTCTTCTGTCCTCCACTCGTTACCTGTATTAATGGCACCTGTTTGAACTCGTTATCTGTATAAAAGACACCTGTCCACAGCCTCAAACAGTCAGACTCCAAACTCCACTATGGCCAAGACCAAAGAGCTGTCAAAGGACACCAGGAAAACAATTGTAGACCTGCACCAGACTGGGAAGAGTGAATCTACAATAGGCAAGCAGCTTGGTGTGAACAAATCAACTGTGGGAGCAATTATCAGAAAATGGAAGACATCCAAGACCACTGATAATCTCCCTCGATCTGGGGCTCCACGCAAGATCTCATCCTGTGGGGTCATAATGATCATAAGAACGGTGATCAAAAATCCCAGAACCACACGGGGGGACCTGGTGAATGACCTGCTGAGAGCTGGGACCGAAGCAACAAAGGTTACCATCAGTAACACTCTACGACGACAGGGAATCAAATCCTGTAGTGCCAGACGTGTCCCCCGGCTGAAGCCAATGCATGTCCAGGCCCGTCTGAAGTTTGCCAGAGAGCACATGGATGATACAGCAGAGGATTGGGAGAATGTCATGTGGTCAGATTAAACAAAAGTAGAACTGTTTGGTATAAACTCAACTCGTCGTGTTTGGAGGAAGAACAATACTGAGTTGCATCCCAAGAACACCATACCTACTGTAAAGCATGGGGGTGGAAACGTCATGCTTTGGGGCTGTTTTACTGCTAAGGGGACAGGTCGACTGATCCGTGTTAAGGAAAGAATGAATGGGGCAATGTATCGTGAGATTTTGAGCCAAAACCTCCTTCCATCAGTGAGAGCTTTGACGATGAAATGGGGCTGGATCTTCCAGCATGACAATGATCCCAAACACACCGCCCGGGCAACGAAGGAGTGGCTCCGTAAGAAGCATTTGAAAGTCCTGGAATGGCCTAGCCAGTCTCCAGACCTCAACCCCTTGAAAATCTGTGGAGGGAGTTGAAAATCCGTGTTGCTCGGCGACAGCCCCAAAACATCACTGCTCTCGAGAAGATCTGCATGGAGGAATTGGCCAAAATACCAGCTACTGTGTGTGCAAACCTGGTAAAGACCTAAAGTAATCGTTTGACCTCTGTTATTGCCAACAAAGGTTATATTACAAAGTATTGAGTTGAATGATGTGAATTCCTGGATTTTTTTTTCACATTCTGTCTCTCACAGTTGAAGTGTACCTATGATGAAAATTATAGACCTCTGTCATTATTTTAAGTCGGAGAACTTGCACAATCGGTGGCTGACAAAATACTTTTTTGCCCCACTGTAAATACTGGTACCTCTGCAGACATGGAGGCGAAGCGGCTAAGCTCGATGTTTCCTGCTAGCACATTTTTACGAAGACCAGGATTCTTTGGGTCCTTCAGATTACTGATCCGACTTCGAACTCTGTTTTTGTATTTCATGTCTGTGGCCTTTATCTCCTGGTAAATATGTACAGACCCAGTCAAGGACAATACTGAGGAATGTATATCATTATAAATATAAGGCACAATACTATAGCTGCAAAAAAAAAAGGATATGATCTTCAATCTCTACAGCTGTGCGGTCACAGTTCACTCCGAACTCGATGTAGTCATCTGGAAAACAAGAGGAAAAGTATGCTATTTTGAGAGAAAATAAATTAATCTGCATCAGTGGAGAAACAAAATTAATATATGCTGAGATCAGCCACACATCACATCAACTGTATGATTCTACTCAAAAACGCTTTTTCTGCGTTTTTAGAACGTTTTAGGTTACACAGACCTATGCATTGACGAGGTGACTCAATCTAAGGCAAGGCCAGTTTCTTTATATAGCACATTCAAACACAGGGCAACTAAAAGTACTGTACATAACAAGAAGCAGTAAACTCATAAAAAATCAGCAGCTGAGGGGGAACATGGACGAGGCACTTCAGAGCATATTGCTTCGTGCGTCGAAGGAAAAGCAGTTTGGGGTCATGGCTCAGAGCCTGATCTACAGGAGGCTGTGGACTAGCATATTGAACATTTAAGCTATATATTGTAGAGTCGTTTCTTTTGTCTCACATATTTCCAATCCAATCCACTTTATTTATATAGCACATTTTGATAAAACAAGTTTCCAAAGTGCTGCACAGAGATAAAATCAACACATTTAAATATGCTCAAAGTAAAAACAATACAAATTTAATAAAAACAATAAAATACCAGTAAACTATAAACATGTGATAAAAACAATAAAATACTAGTTATCTGATTTAAAAAGAAAAAATAAATAAATAAAAACAATAAAACAAATAAAACAAAATAAAAATAGGACCACACAACTCACGCGGTGTTAAAAGCAAGTGAATATTTATCACCAATTGTTTTACACAGGCCTTTATACCCTCCTTCTTGGATAAATTTGACATGATATCATTTTTTACAAACATACTGTCTATTGTTGTATGAATGAAATACACGCACACGCTGATTATCTTTTATTATCAGTAATTTAATGTACTAACAATTACATTGTTGTTTGATATACATTGTGGTTTGATATTAATCATCATAGGGCTCTATATTCATTAGAATATGTTTAAGATGGTTAGTGTATAAAGGGGAAATTTCAGTTGTAGAAATAGACTTGATCAGAAACCAGGAAAAGGTCAAAGTATGGCCAAACCACAAGTGGCCTCTGGGTTATCGCAGACTAGCAGGAAAACTACAGACATAAGCATATGGGAAACTTTTATGACCGCTATCACAGGACAGAAACTAAAATATCAAGTGTCAAACTGGGGACAATAGACAATTGGGGAGTGTAGCTTCCTGTTTTCTCCAAGATGTTTTTCAGAAAAGTGATGAGATGTGGCGGAGGAAGGAGAAAGCTGATCGCCTGCACTGTTGGACCAAAGTTCAAGACAAGACCCAGACTTGATCTTTCCGCTTCTACGTATGGGCCCCAGGATGACGTCTCCTGATATGACACGCCCCTTTGCACATTTACTATATGTGATTATCTATGCTGTATTAGTCAGTCTGAGCGGCGACAGGGAGGTCTTCACAGAGCGCCTGGCTAACCTCCATAGTTTTTAGGCAAGTAGGGACAGTTTTTGGCTCAGTTCATAAGGAAAGTCAGGGATAGGAGCTTAAAGAGTTTTGTATAAGTATTTAAACTATTTGTAAAGAGAATTAACTATTTTTCATTTGAACTCTTGAATATCTTGGTCTTCTTTTCTGGTCAAATTCTGAATCACGTCCTGACATCAGTATGCGGATGTATAGCTTACTGTCTGTGCGCAGTGCGACTGCAATCATCCCGATGCACTTGTCTCTGACCGAGTCCCCCGTGGAGTGCTGAGGGGACAGAGGGCCTCCAGATGCCCCAAAGCCAGGCGACAGGGGGCTGGTCGGGGTGGTGGGGGTCTTAGGGAAATTGCCTTTGCTTTTCCTGCAGAACACATTCACATACAGAGACAACTTCAATGCATGAAATAATTCACATTAAAGTAGATCAGACAATTGGTCGTCTTTTCCGTCTTTTACTTGTGTTTTATGACCTGTGCTGAAAAGGCGTGTTGATCCTGGATAACAATGGGAAAAGTAACGGTGTCTTCACCACCGGGAAGACATGAATAAAAAGGTCAAAACTTAACTTCCCATTTTCAAAAGAAGTCTTCTAAAGCAGGGGTTCCCAAACTTTTCAATCCACGACCCCCAAAATAACCGTGCCAGAGACTGGCGACCCCCACTATCCCTGGATGTGACTCAAAAAATAAAAATAAATAAAAATGTGCGCACCGGCCTTACGCACTAGGCTTATCCAAACACGGGCTTAACGACAACACAAAAGAACAGAGCAGCCTGTGATGATTATACATATAGAAATGTACTTAAGAAGAACACCTTAGTCAAAAAATAATATCCATGTAACATGAGTGCACATTATTTCTGTCATTTGCAAACTTAAATTATTTTAATTTCCATTTTAACAGAAGAATAATTCCACAAATCCACAAACTGTTGTAAACATATGTACATTGTTGCAAATTTACATTTTGGCAACTATTTCAGCGTTAATCTCATTTAATGAGATAGATGCGCGCTATGCACGGAACACAGCAAATCTATTCTTGGTTTAATTGTGGAGACGGCCACACGAAGATCATCCTCCACATTTAGACGCGATCTGTATTTGTTTTTAATATATGTAAGTGCAGAGAAAGTCTTTTTGCACAGGTATGTGGAGCCAAACGGCGTCAGTACGTCAGTACAGCCTTGGATAGCTGTGGATATTCCCACTCAACTGAAATCCAGAACTCAATAAGCGTCTTGGAATTAAAATCTGTCTTTAAAGTGCGGTCACATGACAGCTCAACCAGTGCGTCCTCCATGCCGGCTGACAGATGACTTGCAGTGGTTTCCTCAATTGTGTGTGGCTTTTTTGCCTGTGCAATTAAATATACCACCTCATATGAAGCCTTTTGAGCTTTAGTTGGGATTGTTGCTTGGTTAAAAAGGATTTTCTTTTGGCCTTGCAACTCTTTCTCCTTTCTGCGGAAAAATCTGTCGATTTAGCAGCAAGAGAGGGATGCTTAGTATTCATGTGTCTGAGCATTTTTACGGGCTTTAGGCTCCCATGTGCAAGCACCTCTGTACACACTACACATTGGGGATGTTGTATTTTGTTGACAACGACGCATGTGAATCCATACTGTAAATATTCCTCTCGATACTTGCGACACTTGGAGGAAGGCTGATCCGACTGCTTATGGACCCCCTTATGGCGGGCTCCTCTTCCTGCGCCAGAGGTCGATGGACAAGGCGATTCTCCGCTTTCCTCTGCTGCCCTCTCCACTAGCTTGTCTGCCCTCTCTGCTGGCTTCTCCTCTGCAGACCTTTCGGCCTCCTCTACTGGCCTCTCTGTCTTTTCTTTCCTCGGTATTAACCAACGTTTCATTTTGAAAAATCAGCAAAAATTATCAATGAGCTAGTTCAGAGAATATCTACTGGTCCGTTTTGTGATGTTTACTGTGAGCCGTAAAGTGACCTGACAACGGCAAATCTGTTGTAATCAACACGGTGAAAAACTATAGTTTTATTTTAATTTTAGCTACCATGTTTCTTAACATTCATTTGTACAATTATGGCAGAATTTTTCAGATTTTTTTTGTCCCCAAATTAATTTGATTTATGAAAATATTTTTTTCCCAAATTTATTAGATTTATGAAAATCATGTTGCAACCCCCCATCGGTGTCCCGTGACCCCCACTTTGGGAACCCCTGTTCTAAAGTCACAGCACAGTGCACCCAGGACCCCAGGGAAATCACATTATAATGGAATAAAGTTTATCACCGACATCAGAATCAGAATCATTTTTATTGCCAAGTAACAGGAAGTCACAGACTAGGAAATTGCTTTGGCTCTCGCTACAAGCAAGTCAAAAGTAGAGAAGAGAAGAATAAGGCATAATACAACATTTCTAAGCATTTCAAAAGTATAGCTTTTTCTAAAATAGAAGAGTTAAAAGTTATTACGATTATTACTATATACAAGTGCACTCGGTGCACACAATATACAATGTACATTAAGCAGTCCAGTAAGGTGGCTTTGTAAGGGCAGTAAAGTGGCTTTGTAAAGGGCAGTAAAGTGACTTTGTAAAGGGCAGTAAAGTGACTTTATAAAGGACAGTAAGGTGACTTTATTAAGGGTGGGGGAACAAGGTTATGAAGTGTTCAAGAGTCAAACAGCAGAGGGGGAGAAACTGTTCTTATGGTGGGAGGTTCTGGTCTGAACGGACCGTAGACTCTTGCCCAAGGAGAGAGGTTGGAACAGTCCGTGTGCAAGCTGAAAAGGGTCGGCTGTGATACGACCGGCCCGGCTTCGAGCTCGGGCGTTGTAGAGGTCCTGCAGCGATTGGAGGCTGTGGCCGATCACCTTCTCTGCAGAGCACATGATGCGCTGTTGTCTCTGCGTGTCCCTGACAGTGGCTCCAGCAAACCACACAGTGATGAACAAGGTGAGGATGGACTAATCTATTAACGCAAATAATTCGATTATAAAAAAGTCGAGGAGTTTAAGAAAGCAAGAACTACAGGTCGCTGCGGCGGTGTTGCGATTATATCGCACACCAATTTCTCAGTCCAAAAACCAACAATGCTTTTTGTTCGTTTGAAAACTTAACGCTTTCAATCACCTGTCCTGGGTGGAGAAAACAAAAAGCAGTGTTCTTTATAGTTTTATACCGACCTCCTGGTCCTTACAGTGAGTTCCTAACAAAATTCTCTGACTTAATTTCAAACCTAGTTTTGGAATAGAAAAAAACATAGTTATAACTGAACACTTCAATATTCATGTGGACGACAGCACCGACAGCTTAAACAAAGCTTTCAGCGCCGTATTAGACGGTGTTGGTTTTACTCAGAATGTTGAGGAACCTACTCACATTCATAACCACACTTTGGACCTTGTCCTGACCTATGGTAGTGAGGTTTCCAATATTGACGTCCTGCGTCAAAGCTCGTTGCTGTCTGACCATTTCTTGATCACGTTTGATCTCGCTTTGGAGGACTTTCTTGCGCCGCAGGATAAAACCATAATGAAAAGAACCTTAAAGGATAAATCTATCACAAGGTTCAAAGAACTAATACAGCCAATGTTGAATACTGCTGCAGGTGAACCTGCTCACAGCTGCTGCAGTCCCTCGGTCATTGACCAAACAGTGGACAACACTATGGAGTCTTTAAAAATCTGCATTAAATGCAGCAGCTCACATAAAATAGAAAACTATTAGGATTAGATCATCGTCGCCATGGTACAGTATTCAACTGCACACTTTAAAACAGAACGTTAGAAAACTGGAGAGGCTATATCGCCACTCCCACTCAGAGCCTGTCTCCGAAACTACAAGAATGCACTTCGCAGGGCTCGAACTCATTATTACTCAACTTTAATAGAAGCGAATAAAAACAACAGTAGATTTTTGTTTAGCACCGTCGCTAAACTCACATACCAAGCTTACTGAGCAGTGTCGATTTTCTTCACTTCTTTAATAATAAAATTACATCCATCCGTGACAAACTGGAGGAGGTTACTCCTACTGTTGGTAGTGGACAGGCTGAAGTGGCGTACTTGACTTCCCATTTGGACTCTTCAGTGGGCCTCGACAAGTTCATGGCTGTGAGCCAAGCAGAAGGGATCTCCGTAGTCGCATCTTCTAAAACCTCAACTTCTATTTTAGATGCAATCCTGGCTTGGCTCTTCAAAGACATACTTCCTTGGATAATAGAGCCTATCGTAAGTATAATAAACACATCTATACAATGTGGCTATTTCCCAAAAGCGTTTAAAACCGCTTTGTCAATGTGACAAAGCGGACAATGCTTTTATTACGTGTCGCTTAGATTATTGTAACTCTCTGTACTGTGGGCTCGATCAAAAGTCCATTCGTCGTCTGCAGTTGGTTCAAAACGCAGCGGCGCGTTTGCTCACAGGAACAAGGAAACGTGAGCACATAACTCCTGTGTTGGCCTCTCTGCACTGGCTTCCAGTCAGCTTTAGGATTCAATTCAAGATACTGTTGATGGTTTTTAAATGCTTGAATGGGTTGGCTCCATCTTACCTTTCGGAGCTTTTGTTGACCCGTGATCCAGGTCGTACATTGAGATCCTCCAACCAAATTACTCTGGAGGTGCCAAAAGCGAAGCATAAAACCAGAGGAGACCGGGCTTTTGCCGTAGCGGCTCCGAGACTCTGGAACAGCCTTCCGCTGAATGTCAAAATGGCCCAGTCCATTCATGTTTTTAAGTCGTTGTTGAAAACCCATTTTTTTGCTTTGGCCTTCAACACAAGCTGAGCAGATCCCATGTATTTTATTATTATTGTCTCATGTTGTATATTTTGTGACTGTTTTACTCTTCAATTGTATTTACTCTTCAATTGTATTTTATAATGTTTGTTGTACAGCACTTTGGGCGGCTGTGGCTGTTTTAAGTGTGCTATATAAATAAAATTGACATTGACATTGACATTGACAAAGCGAGTCCGATTCTTTTCACACACGATTCTTTTTTTGGGACCAGATTGTGACCAATCACCAATCACCACTGGCCCCCACTTTCTTGAGAAAATCTACAGGTCTCTCGTTAGCACAGAAAGCTGAGGTAAACAAGCGGCGGAGGCTAACCTGAAAATTGCAGTGTCTTCGTTACCGGTTACTGCTTACACAGCAAAACAGCCATCCAAAAGAAAGTCTTGTTCCTCCGCGCGTCCCGGTTCTATCATTCTATGGTCACGCCATCCACGTGCAAAAGTGCCATATTGTTCCATATTGTGAGACGCTAGCTCCAAAGCTAACAACAGTACATGAACGCAAGTTGAGGGGGAGGGGGGCGAGCAGAGAGAGCCAGCGCTGCATTTGAAAATGTCTCAAAATCAGTTAGTGCAGCTTTAATAAGAAGCGTCTAAAGAGTGGGACCACTTCACTCTGAACACTAAGAAAACCGGAGTATTTTGCACACATTGCTAAGTGGAGCTAGCATCTCATGAAAACACCAGTTTGATGCTGCCGCACCTGACGAGGAAGCATCGAGGAAAGATCCGAGACGAGGTAAGTAAACTTTCATGTTATGGTGTGAGGCACGCCTTGCCTTGCCATGACAATTATGCTAACACGGAGGGGTTTTCCCGCAAACAGTCAAGCCCTGCCAAAGCGGCATGGTTGAAACCTATCAATATAGCCACTTCTCGCCAACAGTTAGCCTTTCATTTGTTAACGCAGTACTGATGACCCAGTATCAGTACCAACATAAGACGTGTATTAATTTGACATTCACTAAAATCCTAGAGCCAACTGGTATTACACTACTCCCCAACAGTTATTTGAACTCCGTACATAATATGCCTGTATGAACACTGTGGACCAAGATCCAGCAGCAGTTACAGAACTGTAGGAATGAGGAGCACACGGTACAAGAGATGTGAACAATAACTTTATACTAAAATTAAATAAAAGCTCCTAACTTTTAATAGAAAAACTAACATAAAAGGCTGTAGTGTAGTATTCTAGTGCAGAAATATATAGTCAGACACATGTGACACTTGTGGTTCTATATTGCATATTATAATTATTGCAGAGATGCACGACATGTGAGGTCAGCAATGTTTGTTATCTAATATAGGACATACTGAATCTAGAAGGGGCGTGTGATTGACATTTAACGTCTGCTTTTCTCTGTCTTTCAGTAGACCATCACATCCTGCTTAGGACCAGTTCCTGCTCCCAGCACAAGCATCTGTTGACAGATAGTATTTGAAATATGCTGGTCAGAGACATGCCCCTCGTCTGATTTTGTTCAAACTGGAAGGACTCGAAAATCCACCGTGGTACAGGTGCAATTGACGCTGCCTTGTCTTCATTTGATAATATGAATGCAAAAAACTGTATAAAATTTAAAAAACAGTTGTCATTATTAAATAGTTTTCATTTGTTATTGTATATGTTTAATCAGGCAAAAGGTTTTATTTTTTTCTTGATTACTCGATAGCTGCATCTTGCTACATCTGTGCAGGCAGCTTTGCTTTCCTGAGCTGCCACAGGATGTACATCCTCTGCTGGGCCTTCTGAGCTGATGGTCGGCTCCCACTTGTGATGGTGGTGCCCAGGAAACAAAAGGACTCCACAGAGGTGATGGGGGAGTCCATCAAGGAGGGCGGGGGCGTGAGGACTGTGCTCTTCCTGAAGTCCAAAATCATCTCCACTGTCTTCTGGGCGTTCAGCTCCAGGTTGTTACCACTGCACCAGGACACCAGCCGGTCCACCTCCCTCCTGTAGGCGGACTCATCATTGGTTGTGTCATGCAGGAACTTGATGAGCTTCACGGAGTCGTGCCTGGAGGTGCAGTGGTCGGTGTACAGGGAGAAGAGCAGGGGAGAAAGAACACAGCCCTGTGGGGTTTGTGTATTTGTAATCCAAGAGTCCTAGATATTTCTCACCAGACGCACATGCTGCCTCCTGTCCGTCAGGGCGTCAGTGATCCACCTGCAGGCACGTTGAGCTGGGAGAGCTTGTCCTGGAGCAGGGATGGCAGGATGGTGTTGAAGGCAGAACTGAAGTCCACAAACAGGATCCTGGCTTATGATCCCGGGGAGTCGAGGTGCTGTAGGATGTGGTGGAGGGCCAGAACTATAGAGGGTCCAGGAGGGGGGGAGGTGAAGGACTTGATGTGGGGGAGGACCAGGGGCTCCAATGACATACAGATTTGGCCATCTTATACCCTATGCTATATTCCTCTCTGAAGGTGATTATGCTGTCCTCACGGAAGTGAATGTATGACGTGGAGCAATATCAACATGTTCAATATTCTTACAAGGACAACTTTGTAAGAGCAGCTCATGTAAAAAAACTCAAACTAGAAAGCCACAATAGAAGTTTGCGTTTCAGTCAGTATTTCTATTACTTTCTGCCAGGTTCCATGTCAGAAGTAACCTTTTGTCTATAAATATAATTGGAAGTAAAACAGCATTCTAGATGCTAATTCATAATATAGAAACCAAAAATAATGGTATTGATATCAACCATGGATTTATAATAATATCTGGATAGGGTATTAATAGCTTATAGCTGTCCCACCAATGGGCACAGGTGGCGCCCGCGGTACGGCAGACTAAATTCATGTGAGCTACCCTTAAAAGTGTCGCATAGAACTCAATTTAAACCCAAACAGCTCAACCTCAGCTGACAAAGAACCAGCAGCTTTTATAAAGGTCGGATTTTGTGGAGATTTTAGTGTCCCTTGTCATCCTGAACTTTTCTTCTTATCATTCAGTTTTCTTTAAATCCACACTTTAATGCAACAAACTCTGGCTCCTCTCCAGCTCTTCTCTAATTTGTCAATGCACGGCCAAGCCCTCTGTGCATGTGCATAAGAGCCACACATGCGTATTTGGCGCAACGCATCATGGAAGCTCATCCACTGCACAGAAACGGGAGGACCAGACAATGCCCAAATATGGGCGGGTTCTGCTAATCATTCGGTCCCCATGTATGTCCCATGCGCTACTGAGCACAAGCCATTCATTTGAATGGACCTTTTTCACAAGAACCGGAAGTGCCGCTTCCTGGTGCTGCATCCCTTCCTGTGGTTTCTGAGCCCTCTGGAAGGCAGATTCCCTCTCAGATGGAACAGCTCTGCTTTTAAGGCGGCTGATGGTCGATCCGGTGATAAAATCCTCCTGTATAATGGTGCGTTCTGTTGTATTAAATATAGACTAAAAAGCAGATGTGACAATGACTGACCCTGATTTGACCTCTGTCTCTTTCCTAAGCAAAAAGACCTGGTCTCCCCTTCTCCCATTGTAGTCCAAAGTGCAGAATATGAGTTAATGATAGTTAATCTGGAAGGCCAAGAGGGATCTGCATTCCTAGATTCTGTTAATCCTTCCCGTTGTTTGGAGAAGGAGATGGACCCAGAATCTGGAGGGACAGCCTTGAAGAGCCTCCTGCCTTATCTCAAGGAAGTAATAATTCTATAGAATTAGGGAGGGGTAGTGTGTGTGAATGATTTCTGTTTAGGTCTGGCGAGACGGAGGAGACCGGATGGAGGCCAGACCCGGGACCCGAGAGCTGCCTGATACGACACGCCCCTTCTTCCTGCACATTTACTTAAGGAATAGCTTGAATGTGTTAGTTAGTTTTTTTCAGTCCGGATCAGGGTTTAGCTGTGTGACTTGGTGGAGCGCCCAACCAGTGTTACACTTTATATAGAGGATAGGGATTAGATACTTTTGGTCCGGACATCTGTTTAAGATTCTTTTTGTATTAGGGAAATAAACCTTTTTGAATTTAACTTTCTGAATCTTGGTCATCTTTATAAGGGATTTTGAACACGTCATTTTTAATACGATAGTTCCCACCGCCAACGCTGGAACACCAGACGCACATTCCCTAATTTTCAGACGCAGGGGTCTTCAGACCAGAAGTCACTGGCTGCGGTGGCGCCCGCCGGAAGTGGCAGAAGTAGCGGGTGGACTCTTCTCCAAGACTGCAGCTCTGCAGCGTCTCTGTGTCTAGACCTTCCAGAGACTTTATATAACAGCAGTATGTGTTCACGGAGGTGCGCCATATGTTTATTTTATTTTTAAACTGTACTGGGGCAACAGTAGCTCAGTTGGTAGAGTCTGGTGTGTGTGTGAATGGTTGGTGGTGGTCGGAGGTACTGGTTGCCGCGCTTCTGTCAGTGTGCCCCAGGGCAGCTGTGGCTACAGTCGTAATTTATCACCACCGTGTATGGAGTGAAATAATGACATGTAAAGCGTCTTTGAGTGTCCAAAAAAGTGCTAAATGAAACCGATGCATTATTATTATTATTACTTCCACATCGGTGAACATGCTCGGAGCAGTTGCATAAAGTCACGGGAGCATGAAAACACATATGTTCACAAGCACTATGTCCCCCATTGTCAACCCTGGTTTAGTCCTGGTGTAGCTCCTGTTTTGACTGTTTACGAGTATGTTCAGTCTGCAAGCTCAGACCGCTAATGACCACTTGACCACTTGGTGGCTCTCTGATTGGTTGCTGCACGAGCGTCCCGAGGAAACGCTCAGCAATGTTTATCTCCTGCATGCGTCAATTTTCCACTCCTGCGCCTCTGCCGCGCCTTTGCCACGCCTTTGCCGCGCCTTTGCCACGCAGTCTGTGCATCTCTACTGCGCAGTCCGTGAATGCATCCCGAGACGCATATGCAGTTCCACGCTTGAACGCGCGTCACCATTGACTTTGTATTGAAAGTCGATGAAACGCATGATCCGGTCTGAACGCGGCTTAAGGCTGCATACAAAAGTGCTCCCTGGCTTTATGGAGAACTGGGATCCTCGTCTCTTCTAACTGCTTGGATCCACAGCCTCCTTTGGCCCAGGTCTGTCAGAAAAGCATGGAAAGAAAGGTATGCTTGTTTTCTTGCCCCACAAGAGCTACCAGGAAAAGAACAAAAACAACCGTGGCGAGATTGAGCCATACTCTGGCTCTGGCTCAATCCCCCCCCTTTGAGAAGTAAGTGCAAATGAGCCTGTGAGAGATGAAACCTTACCTGTCAGTGCTGTCGGTGGAAGGTTTCCTGTGTGGAGCTGCAGACTGAGCTTTAAATCCAGCTGACTCCCTCCTAATGAATACAAATATACTGGTATGTATACATCCACACACATGATTACATCCTCATCCTACATCCAACAGCTGCAGAACATTACCTCTCACTACTGAGTTTTTTTGCAGGTTGTGAGATACTTTTCTTCCTATCGGTCGACTCTTGCCTTACAGATGAAAGTTAGTTTTTTGGTCTTTATTCAAAATGCAATTTTTTTTGTCAAATGGCTTTACATTTTAGAATTTTAGCGTTAATTTTAGATTTGTATTTGAAATATATAAATGCAAGATTTCTTTTACATTCTTAATATGCTATTTAGATTTACATTTGACGATTAGGATTCACATGTCAACTCTAAAAAGCAGACTGAAAGAGTGGTGAAACAGTGCCTCCTCTGTCTTCCAAACACAAGATTACAGTACATTGCAATGCGTCATACGAACAAAAGGTCTACTTATTCAAAGCGTGCTTTATTCTTTGGCACATGGGAAGGCGAGAATCCAGCGGCTGGCAAATTGCTGTACAAACCAGCGCAGGTAAGACAACAGATGATTAGCCTATCATAAGAACCACCTAGGTTAGGTTTATTCAAATACCTTGTCACTTAATTTATGACTCTCCCTCCCCATTACAGGTCTGTAGGATAATCATGGCCTTCTGTGTCCTGCACAACATCGCTATGAAGAGGTGTGCCACCACTTTGCGGCTCTCTGATTGGTCGCTGCACGAGCGTCCCGAGGAAACGCTCAGCAATGTTTATCTCCTGCGTGCGTCAATTTTCCACTCCTGCGCCTCTGCCGCGCCTTTGCCACTTCTTTGCCGCGCCTTTGCCACGCAGTCTGTGCATCTCTACTGCGCAGTCCGTGAATGCATCACGAGACGCATATGCAGTTCCACGCTTGAACGCGCGTCACCATTGACTTTGTATTGAAAGTCGATGAAACGCATGATCCGGTCTGAACGCGGCTTAAGGCTGCATACAAAAGTGCTCCCTGGCTTTATGGAGAACTGGGATCCTCGTCTCTTCTAACTGCTTGGATCCACAGCCTCCTTTGGCCCAGGTCTGTCAGAAAAGCATGGAAAGAAAGGTATGCTTGTTTTCTTGCCCCACAAGAGCTACCAGGAAAAGAACAAAAACAACCGTGGCGAGATTGAGCCATACTCTGGCTCTGGCTCAATCCCCCCCTTTGAGAAGTAAGTGCAAATGAGCCTGTGAGAGATGAAACCTTACCTGTCAGTGCTGTCGGTGGAAGGTTTCCTGTGTGGAGCTGCAGATTGAGCTTTAGATCCAGCTGACTCTCTCCTAATGAATACAAATATACTGGTATGTATACATCCACACACATGATTACATCCTCATCCTACATCCAACAGCTGCAGAACATTACCTCTCACTACTGAGTTTTTTTGCAGGAGGTGAGATGCTTTTCTTCCTATCGGTCGACTCTTGCCTTACAGATGAAAGTTAGTTTTTTGGTCTTTATTCAAAATATATTTTAGAATTTTAGCGTTCATTTTATATTTGCAATATATAAATACAAGATTTCTTTTACATTCTTAATATGCTATTTAGATTTACATTTGACGATTAGGATTCACATGTCAACTCTAAAAAGCAGACTTAAAAAGTGGTGAAAAAGTGCCTCCTCTGTCTTCCAAACACAAGATTACAGTACATTGCAATGCGTCATACGAAAAAAAGGTCTTATTCGAAGCGTGCTATATTCTTTGGCACATGGGAAGGCGAGAATCCAGCGGCTGGCAAATTGCTGTACAAACCAGCGCAGGTAAGACAACAGATGATTAGCCTATCATAAGAACCACCTAGGTTAGGTTTATTCAAATACCTTGTCACTTAATTTATGACTCTCCCTCCCCATTACAGGTCTGTAGGATAATCATGGCCTTCCTGCACTAGATCGCTATGAAGCGGGGTGTGCCACTTCCCCCTCACCGTGAGGATGCTCGCCCTGACACAATGATGGGACCAGACTCATGTTTGAGAGCAGTTAATTGCCTGTTTGTGAATAACGTTGAAATATTACATGTTAAATATAAGAGTCTGTGATTCACTTCAAATTTGAGGACAGACCAGTTCCAGTGCACATCTTCATTTTATTTTGAAATTCTCATACATATCTTTAAGTGTTTTTTATATGGTTCCCAGTGTTGAAGCAATCTTCTTCATTGTCTCCGCTATCTGTTCCTGATTGTGTAGTACCGCATCCGAGATCAGGCACGGTCGTGGAGAGGCACGGGTTTGTTTGGATGTGCTTCTGCAATTGAGGCTCTGTCCGTTCTGGTTCTGTTTCAAGTTGGCTATGCGGCACTTCATCAGTGATAAAAGAAAAAGAAATAATAAACGCCTTAAATGCATCACTCAATCACGGCATGTAACACGCGCGACACACACAATAATCACAGTTTAAGCGTCTACCTTTCGGCCAATCAGTGTCAAAGAGGACTTAGGCCTGATCACATCCATGGGCTTAATGTTGACAAGCGCCAGCATGAGCCACGGTCGCAGCATCATCACGGCAGAAGTTTGGTAAAGTCAGCGTAATATTCCCAGATTCTGACTTCCGCGGTCAATAGCTCACAAAAGCTATGTTGTTAAACAAAAGTAATTGTGCTAAAATGATCACCTCTACAGTGATTTTTCAAATCTAATAAAAATGTAATACAGCATATTTTAATTTGAATCATCAATTAAATGAAATACATTATTGTAATTTTGATTTTTCCAATAGCCTATCTGAAAGTACTGTCTCCCCGATGATGGCCCTGACGCGCTAGTCCAACTCAGACATGTGTGTCGTATGTGCTGTCCCGATTCAGTCCGTTGCGTCTCACGACGGAATTTTGCTGTGTTTCTTTATGTTTCGCATTTAAGGTCGAAACATTTCTTTTTCATCTCCTCTATTGTGCGTCCCTCTCCTGACACTGCATCCACTGCATGCCAACTGCCTCCCAGGCCTCGTTTTTATTTGTGTTGGTGCAACCAGCACTATGGTTGCTAAATATGATTTTTGTCCTCCTAGAGATCTCCTGCAGTAGAACTTCCAGTTCTGAAATGCTAGTGTGAAGTGTTTTTTTCTTTTTACCTGCACTCCAACTCTTTACTTTAGGCATGTTGCTGTTTACTCTGAGTGGCTTCTGCACACGACCCTGCAGTTGCTTTTATGGGCATTAATGGGCGGTTACCTATGCTAAGCACCTATGCTAATGACTCACCTGGCACGCGTGCTCAATTTACGAGGAGATGGCCTTCATCAATCTAAGAGAACAGCTGTGAACTACTCAGCGGCTTAAGAACCTGTTGAGTAATCGGACATAAACTCTTAAGTCTTAAGAACGACTTAGAAAAAAAATCGGGTATAGCTTCTTTAAGTAGTTCATAAAAATGCTTTTTACGACATACAAGTTGTATTATAGGGCGACAGTAGCTCAGTTGGTAGAGCATTGGCCTTTGGGCCTGAAGGTCGTGGGTTCGAGCCCACCATAAGACCTACTTCACGACTCCCACTGATGACTGCTGTCGTTGTGTCCTTGGGCAAGACACTTAACCCTACTTTGCCCAAAGCCCCAACTGAAAGATCTCAGCTCCTGTGGACTCACCACCTGCAGGAGGATCAGTGAGGGGCTGGTGCTAAGTGTACTGGGTGCAGCTCTGGCTGCCACCCCCCCGACCCAGAAATGGATTAAGGGGAAGAAAATCGATGGATGGATGGATGGAAGTTGTATTATAATACATACTTTAATTGAAAACTTCAGGTCATTGATTCCACTGTGTATGAAATTCAGGCAGTGAAAAGTGCTGAGTAGAGTCTTAGCGGGCCGTTTGTTCTCCACTCACAGAACGAGCAGCGAACAGCCTGCGTCCTCTAGCCCCTACAGCGCTGCTTAACACCAGGGCTTCGACTTCAAAATTCAAAAATAATTCTAAAATTAAAAAAAAAAAAAAAAATATATATATATATATATATATATATATATATATATATATATATATATATATATATTCAAACAAATATTAGACAGCCCTTATAATTCTAAATGTATTTAATGACTGCAAATAAAATAGTTAGCTCCCAAAGGTTTCACCGGGACGTGCTAGGCAGGTAACAGCTAAGCTAGCTTGCTGTTACATGGTAACTTCCGGGTTTATCGCGATCGCTTTTTGTCACTTTAAAACAGTATTTTTGTCATGAAAACGTTGACGGCAAATTCTGAAATCATCCGTGCATGTGTGTTAAGGATGTATATGTATACTGTATTGTCTGATTAACGTTTAATGGTGTTGATTGATTGATATGTAGTTGTTTATTGAGCGTGGCTAGCTCCGCTAGCTTCTCTACACAGACAAGTGTGCAGAAAAACTGCACAATGTAGTGACAGGCGCTGATAGCTTGTTGTACTTGCAAAATAATGGCAGTATTTTACGCACCTGAATTATAAACAGAGATTGCATTGGGGCTGCGGTCATTATTGGTTTGAGAGTTCCGTTATCAAGAAAAAATGACACTGGGTAACAAACAAAAACATTTTGAAAAGAGTCCAGGGTTTTCCAGCTGAATTAGACTAATTTTGATGCTCTGAGTCCGAAAATGACCTTGGTTTTGCTCAATTAGGTCAGGATTTTTTGTTACAGAAATATTTTTTTAAATCGATTTTAAAAAATCGACGAAATAAAAGTCAACGTATCCAAAGTCTTTCAGTTTTTATTTACTCCATCAAATTTGATAAGCAGAATTCATAATAACGTAGACGTACATAATCCGTAACACTATGGCTGTATCTCAAAAAGTTGACCTGATAGAGCAAAATGCATGTGATATTCGGACTCAGAACACCAAAATTAGTCTAAATCAGTTGAGAAACCCCTGACCATTTTTTGGCTGTCAACTTGTGTGATCGGAGAAATTGCATTCAAGTCAATGGAGTGCGTGCTGCTGCCGTGAGGAGCTGTATGAAAAATTATAATTAAATATTAAAATATATTCTAATGTTTAAATTAATACATTCGGACGCAAAACTAATGGTATTCTTTTACTTATATATTGTGTTAGCAGTGCATTGCTTTAGTGCCATTTAATCAGTGATTGTTGTACACCTTACAAGTTGCTAGCAAGTTAGCATACGTATCAGATCGCAAATAAAACTAGGTGGCTCTGTGTTATGAGAGCGTAGGGGAAATGAGAAGCCTGTGAGTGAGTTGGGGGGCGGTGCTAAACATTCAAACATTGCAGAAACGGGTATAGCGCCTTTAAGAAGAAATTTTAGAAGATTCTTAAAAAGATTTTGGTGAGTAAGGCCCAATGGGATTACCTTGACATGTTTTCACAGTATCAGTCTTCTTCAGAGGCGTCTTGCGATACCTTATCAGCTGCTCTTCCAGTTTTACTGGGCTGACTGCGCCCACAAGCAATAGAAATCACAGACACCATGAATCGAGTCAGGGGCGAACATCTCCCGAACATGGGATGCACTTCTCCAGCAACCATTGGCTGGCAGATGGCCCAGTGTTAATAAAATAACAGTGAAGAGATGCTGCAGATGCGGCATCAATCTTTTTTCTCTGTTCCTCTGCAGTGTATAGCACTAACATCTGCCTCAATGCTGGATCCTGCAGATCCCAGATGAACCAGAGCTGTGGTGGTATCAATTCTTCTGCACAAACGTTCTTCCTCACTGTGTGTGTGTATTCGTCATGGATCTAACAAAATCTGGATAGGGTATTACTAGCTTTTAGCTGTCCCACCAATGGGCAAAGGGGGGGTACTGCAATCAAAATTCACGTGAGCTATTCAGAACTCAATTTAAACTAAAACAGCTCCACCTCAGCTGACAGAGAACCTACAGCTTAGATAAAGATCGGATTTTGTGGGGATTTTAGTGTCCCTGTCGCCCTTTTTTTCTTGTTAAATCCTTTGGTTTTCTATAGATCCTCACTTTAACGCAACAAACTCTGCTTGTTTGGCAACCGCTCTGGCTCTGCTCTCGCTCCGCTCTGATCGGCAGCTGTGATTGGTCAAAGCGCGGCCGAGCCCTTCTGTGCATGTGCATGAGAGCCACACATGCGTATTTGGAACGACACATCATGGGAGCTCGGCCACTGCGCAGAACTGGGAGGACCAGACGATGCCCAAATATGGGCGAGTTCCGCTAATCTTTCGGTCCCCATGGCTCTCCCATGCACTACTGGGAAACAAGCCATTGATTTGAATAGGGCGCCATCTTGGCTTGGTATTTGTGCAGATGTTGGCTTTTCATTTCTGTGCATGCATGTGAGAATCACCGCAACCTGGTGAGACCTTTTCTAAAGACCCGGTTGAACAAGTGATTGTGTTTCAGTGAAAATCACCAAGAGGATGTTCTTCGGTGACCATTCTCTTCCTAAAGTACACTACTTCTAATCATGCTTTTGAAAGAGGGTTATCACAGCGATCCAGAAGGAATCAACATAGTCTTCTGCCAGTGATTCATCATCGGAGATAGACTCTCCTCTGATTGGCAAAGTGGAACGAAGGCCCTCCTTCCCACAATTTAAAGATTGAATAAAGACATTTTTTGCACGTGTGATGATTTGCAAAGCAATCTTGTATTTGGATTCCTTTTGCCGTCTGCCTTTTACATTTGACATTTTTCAATCTACTGAGACTGACAAATTGCCAATTTTGGTTTGTCAAATGGAAAAATTAATTCATATTAAAGAAGCAGTATGTAAAAAAGTGGTACTGCAAACTCTCCCAATCTCCCTGACTCAGGTTGCCAGATATGCAGACAAATCCAACTGGGACCATAATATCTGAATAGACAAAAGTTTTGTCAACAATAAATCTATAACCAACACCTTTTTCACAAAAGCCCTGATAAGAAACCTCGCTTGATTCCTTGTTTTGTCATTAATGATTTGAGAATCATAACAAGACCTTTTTTTTAGATCTGCGGCCACATGTTACTTTACCAGTGAGATTAGCTCGACGCGGTTAGTTCTGGCAACCCAGATCACAGACTTTCTGATTGGTAAAACAGTGGAGGGCGGGACATCGAAATGAAAACAATAACAAGATTTAGGGGCTATAAAACTAATTTTCAAATTCATTTATCTTGGCTTAACTACTATTATCAGTTAAAGAAGTATTCGACAAGAGCATGGTTTATTAATGCCTTTTGACAGATTAGGGCCATTTAATGATGACTTGACATGAATCTTACATATCTTACATATTGCTACATTAAGGTTGTAAAATAAATGTTGTATGTACACATCACAAATATTGCAAATAGAAATAAATACTACAGTTACAAAATATAAAGCCATTTGGCAATTGCATTGCAATTTGAATAATAAAATACCTAAAAACTTCGATATAAAATGGGATTTATCTTGTTTTGAAGAGATATATTAGATGTTCTGTATTTATTAGATAAAGTCCCACCTGTCGGCCTTAGAGTCAATGGAAGGACGTTTCTGCGAATGGCTGGATTTTTTCTCCACTGAATCTCTCCTAGACAAAAACACACATGCATACAATTGTTATGCTTTAATACATTTTATTTATTATGTTTTATATTTCAGCAAACCTTTGTAACTCTTTTTTTACATCCTCAGCAGGCTTTTTGACAATTGATTCAATCCTGAAATTTGGCCAACAACATTAACATGGCATATATACACACATGGCATTAAACATGCATATACATAGTATAACAATGCATCCCCTTAAAGAGACATTTACATGCCACTCGATAGGATCTGCACATTATTTAAACCTAAGGGTGTAGGTGCATTTGTTTTTTTTAATTTATTGTGATTCATCATGCTTTTTACAGTATATTGGTCAATGTATATATTTTTGTGATCACTAAAAGACCAAAAAACATTGCGGAATAATGAAGATTTGAAATGTTAAAACAAACATTGCAATAAAGTAAGAAATAATGTGACAATTGACACATGCCATACAGACAGAATGATATGAATTCAAGATAATTGTAGTCAGATTCAGATTCATTTATTTGCCATTTTCAGTAAAACCACATTATAAAAACTGTGCAAGACTACCCCAGTGTGCACCAGACAGAGAAGACGGCACACACCAGAGCTCTTGCCACAGCGCAATCTTTACGGCGCCATGCGACAAATAGTAGAATAAACAGCAGAGAGCAGTAACATACATTTCACAAAGACAGTTTGGATAGACACGGTATGTTTTGGATAAAACCTTTAGGATATACCCTCCGACAACCCTGCCCAATGTTGGCGGCCAGAGGGGACTGGGTGAGGGGGATAATTGTTGTGTCCTGGCCCACGGATAATCACAAAAACATAGTACAAAGAAAAGGACGATTTCAATAGTTTTGGGAAAGTTTGTTTTTTAAAATGTGTTCTGGTACCAAAGTAGCAGAGCAGTGACAGGACACTTACAGCAACCTGGATTCCTTAGGCCTTTCACAACAATCACTATAATTACTATAATGTTTTATCGCTCAATATCTGAGGGATTAAATAGTAATTAGTTTTGTGCCACAATATGAATTATTATTATTAATGTGTAAAGATTATGTTGCAATTTTTGTGTAGACTAATTTAGCTTTAGTGGGTTCAAAATGAGTAAATATTTCTTAATTTTGCTGATTATTTATATACAGTGGGGCAAAAAAGTATTTAGTCAGCCACCGATTGTGCAATTTTTCCCATTTAAAATAATGACAGAGGTTTGTAATTTTCATCATAGGTACACTTCAACTGTGAGAGACAGAATGTGAAAAAAAAAATCCAGGAATTCACTTTGTAGGATTTTTAAAGAATTTATTTGTAAATCATGGTGGAAAATAAGTATTTGGTCACTTCAAACAAGGAAGATCTCTGGCTCTCACAGACCTGTAACTTCTTCTTTAAGAAGCTCTTCTGTCCTCCACTCGTTACCTGTATTAATGGCACCTGTTGAACTCTTTATCTGTATAAAAGACACCTGTCCACAGCCTCAAACAGTCAGACTCCAAACTCCACTATGGCCAAGACCAAAGAGCTGTCAAAGGACACCAGGAAAAGAATTGTAGACCTGCACCAGACTGGGAAGAGTGAATCTACATTAGGCAAGCAGCTTGGTGTGAACAAATCAACTGTGGGAGCAATTATCAGAATATGGAAGACATACAAGACCACTGATAATCTCCCTCGATCTGGGGCTCCACGCAAGATCTCATCCCGTGGGGTCATAATGATCATAAGAACGGTGATCAAAAATCCCAGAACCACACGGGGGGACCTGGTGAATGACCTGCTGAGAGCTGGGACCAAAGTAACAAAGGTTACCATCGGTAACACACTACGACGACAGGGAATCAAATCCTGCAGTGCCAAACGTGTCCCCCTGCTGAAGCCAATGCATGTCCAGGCCCGTCTGAAGTTTGCCAGAGAGCACATGGATGATACAGCAGAGGATTGGGAGAATGTCATGTGGTCAGATGAAACCAAAGTAGAACTGTTAGGTATAAAATCAACTCGTCATGTTTTGAGGAAGAAGAATACAGAGTTGCATCCCAAGAACACCATACCTACTGTGAAGCATGGGGGTGGAAACGTCATGCTTTGGGGCTGTTTTTCTGCTAAGGGGAGAGGACGACTGATCCGTGTTAAGGAAAGAATGAATGGGGCCATGTATCGTGAGATTTTGAGTCAAAACCTCCTTCCATCATTGAGAGCATTGAAAATGAAACGTGCCAGGGTCTTCCAGCATGACAATGATCCCAAACACACCGCCCGGGCAACGAAAGAGTGGCTCCGTAAGAAGCATTTGAAAGTCTTGGAGTGGCCTTGCCAGTCTCCAGACCTCAACCCCATTGAAAATCTGTGGAGGGAGTTGAAAGTCTGTGTTGCTCGGCGACAGCCCCAAAACATCACTGCTCTCGAGAAGATCTGCATGGAGGAATGGGCTAAAATACCAGCTGCTGTGTGTGCAAACCTGGTAAAGACCTATAGTAATCGTTTGACCTCTGTTATTGCCAACAAAGGTTATATTACAAAGTATTGAGTTGAATTTTTGTTATTGACCAAATACTTATTTTCCACCATAATTTACAAATACATTCTTAAATAAAATCCTACAATATGAATTCCTGGATTCATGGCTGGCTAATTCCTCACAGTTTCTGTCTGCGGCTTAAGCCCAAAAAATGCGCACGTATCTTGGAGTTGTGTTGGATCGACACCGGATGTATTCAGACCTGATTCGACTTGGACCAGAATTCGTTTGGAAGCGGACCGAGACCACCTCAAAAAGTGGGTCTCGGTTCGGTTCTTTGGTCCGGACCAGGATTCGTTTGTGTGTATTCAGACCTGCATAAAAGATTCGGATCAGAGTTCCAAACGAATCCTGGTCCGTTTAAAGTGGAGCAAATGTGCAGGTCTGAATACACCCTAAATCTCCGTCCCAGTCTCAGGTCTTTTGCAGACTCCAACAGGTTTTCTTCCAGAATGGTCCTGTATTTGGCTCCATCCATCTTCCCATCAATTTTAGCCATCTTCCCTGTCCCTGCTGAAGAAAAGCAGGCCCAAACCATGATGCTGCCACCACCATGTTTGACAGTGGGGATGGTGTGTTCAGGGTGATGAGCTGTGTTGCTTTTACGCCAAACATATCGTTTTGCATTGTGGCCAAAACGTTCGATTTTGGTTTCATCTGGACCAGAGCACCTTCTTCCACATGTTTGGTGTGTCTCCCAGGTGGCTTGTGGCAAACTTTAAACGAGACTTTTTATCGATATTTTTGAGAAATGGCTTTCTTCTTGCCACTCTTCCATAAAGGCCAGATTTGTGCAGTGCACGACTGATTGTTGTCCTATGGACAGACTCTCCCACCTCAGCTGTAGTTATCTGCAGTTCATCCAGAGTGATCATGGGCCTCTTGGCAGCATCTCTGATCAGTCTTCTCCTTGCTTGAGATGAAAGTTTGGAGGGACGGCCGGGTCTTGGTAGATTTGCAGTGGTCTGATACTCCTTCCATTTCAATATAATTGCTTGCACAGTGCTCCTTGAGATGTTTAAAGCTTGGGAAATCTTTTTGTATCCAAATCCGGCTTTAAACTTCTCCACAACAGTATCTCGGACCTGCCTGGTGTGTTCCATTGTCTTCATGGTTCTCTCTGCGCTTTAAACAGAACCCTGAGACTATCAAAGAGCAGGTGCATTTATACGGAGACTTGATTACACACAGGTGCATTCTATTTATCATCATCAGTCATTTAGGACGACATTGGATCATTCAAAGATCCTCACTGAACTTCTGGAGTGAGTTTGCTGCACTGAAAGTAAAGGGGCCGAATAATATTGCACGCCCCACTTTTCAGTTTTTTATTTGTTAAAAAAGTTTAAATTATCCAATAAATTTTGTTCCACTTCACGATTGTGTCCCACTTGTTGTTGATTCATGACAAAAAATTTAAATTTCATATCTTTGTTTGAAGCCTGAAATGTGGCGAAATGTTGAAAGGTTCAAGGGGGCCGAATACTTTCGCATATATATATACACACTAATCATAATAATTATGATGATAGTACTAGATAATTAAAGTGATGATATTTCATCATACAATAACAAAATCTGTTTTTCATTTGTTGTGTTAATAAAAACATACTTGAGAGCTTCAATGGGCCAAGAGCGGTTAAGTGGTCTTTCAATATACATTTTGAGTACATTTTCCACATTGTATCTTCTGTATTGTGCTATTTTAACATGTTTGGACACTTCCGTCTTTTGCACAAATCTGAGTGATTCTATCCATGCCAAATGTAACATGTAAATTTCTCCTGTGTGAGATCAAAAAGTCTATCTTATCATATCTTATCTTATTTTATCGTCTGTGAAAAGTTTAAATGTTATTTTATCTTGAGTTGAATCAATCACAAATCAAGTCTTATATTGCTTGATTAGTGTGAATTATTTATTTGTAATACATATGTGTAAAGGGACTTCTGCTTGCTTTAATTTTTATGGTTTCTTGAATTAGGTGTTGGGCCCCTATGCTGGCTTCTGCTTAGGGCCCCAACAAGGCAAGCACCAGCTCTGAATGTAGCCAAAGATAGTTCTGTGCCACTTTGTCCTTGTGGGAATTATGTCCGAAATCCAGTTAACCAGCAAACATTTCCTGGGGCAAAAAGGAAGTATTCGAGACAGTTTCTTATGCTGTTTGCTGTTGATAACAGGGTCAGTTAACCCAAGCAATAAAAACATGAAAAAAATGACACACATTTGTTAATAATCATTGTCATTAACAAATACTTAACCAAGGACTACAGCATATATCAATACATGTTTAATAATGTGGTAAACATACTATTCCATTGTATTTTCAATGGAAAACGGACCCGACACGCGTCGACGGACGGAACAAATAGGATTGTTTTTATTTCGTCTGTCCGCGTCCGTTGCACCCTCTGTTGACGGAATGCGTCCGAAGTGCGTCGGATGGACGCATGTTGGAGGCAGTGGAGCCACTTCCATTCACCCTCATTGAGATAACGGAAACGGAGATGAAACAGACACGTTTGGACGGATCCGTCATCCGTTTTATGCGTCCGATGGAGTTGGGGCCTCAGCGAAAGCGCAGCCGTAACGCACGATCACATTCAGATTCAGATTCAGTTTATTTGCCATTTGCAGGACCATCCCCTGCACGTGCGGGTCTTGCCTGTCTCCCCCGTCTCTCCCCCATGTCTCTTCACCCGTCTCCCCAAAGTCTCCTCATGAAGCGCAGCCAAAACTCACCGAATTAAAGCTCAGGTACCTACATTTTTGCTTGCATTGACAATGCATGTTATTTGTGCAAAACAAAACAAACCAAAACAGTTGTGTTTTTTTATTTTGCTCACTTAAGAAAGAGCCCAGTGAGTCAGTATTTGACTTTATGGGCTGAGAATGGATTTTTTTATATTTTTTTCTACATAGTTATCGCCACTTTATTGCCAAACTCTTTGTGACTTATTGTACTGAGAAACATGTGTTAGTCTCACATTTTTGTGGCTGTTTTATTACCTTTCCTGTGTGGAAGTTGTATATTTTTTGTTTTATTCTACTGAAGGTTTATAATAATACACTGCATTCTTATTGACAGCCACACGTGTCAGCTCTCAAATTCTTTTGAAATGATGTTTCTATTTGCTACAGAGGCTGAGATATCAATCATTCTGTAGACTTTGAATTTCAGGAAAACTTCAGGTTTTGGAGGGTGGTTCTAAAGTCGGCCATAGGTTTTACAGGTCTGTATTACCAGGTGTGTCAGGCCTTAATGGGTTAAAACACTCTTCTTCAATTTAGCATATGGTTAGGTTGTTTGTCAGGTTTGGTTTACACACTTGGTGTGTAATCCACGAATCTTTGGTGCAGTAGCCTGGGCTAGCCTAGCCATGGCTGCTGCTGTCTCCTTCTCTCTGACACAGTCTCTACATTCAAAGCTAGGCTTAAAACAGTCCTCTTGAGTTTAGCATATGGTTAGGAAGGTGAGACTGCGTAGGGAGTCAGTTTGCTGGGAGAAGTATGGTAACTTGAGCACTATCCTCTCCCCCTTCCTATACTCTATATCTGCATTATTAAGATTTTAACTGTAGTGTGTTCATTGCTATTCACCCGTTGTCCCATTGTCTGTTTTAAGGCGCGACAGCAGGACCTCAGAACCTGGCCTCCTCCATCTACACCTGCGGACTGCCCTGCCTGACCCGCCACCACCGGACCCGGACCCTGTCCTCATTCTGTGGCCGCTGCGTGGCCTTGGTCCTTGTTCTGTAGCATAGGTCCTGGATCTATAGCCCGTTCGTCGGTGTGGAGCGGACCCTTCTCTCAATGTGGATCTCCCTGAGGTTTCTCACTTTCCTCCCACTGGGTTTTAGAGTTTTTCCTTGCCGATGCAGGAGGGTCTGTTGGACAGTTAGTGTCTAACAAAAAGGACTGTGGTGATGATCCAGGACACTTTAACATTCACCATATGTATGGACATTTATCAACATTCATGGACATTGGTCTCTCCCTATAGACCAATACATATGTGTATTTTTTGTGTGTCTTAACTGTTGATTCTCTGATCTGTGTTGGTGATTTCAATGGTTTTGTTAAGTCCAGATGACTGCTGTGATTTAGGGCTATACAAGAATACATTGCATTGTATTGTATTGTATTGTATGTTTGCTTTGTAAAGAGAAGTTTTGTTGCAACATGAGGAACAATGAACAAGGATTCATTCATCAAAATATTGGAGCACCTATATTCAGACTTCACAAACCTCAGCAAAGACGTTGAAAAAAAGGCCATTAAAAGACATACGCTCCAGCGAACTCCAGCCTGTGACGTGATCAGTATCGAACAGATGACCTGACCTGATCTGTTCGATATCAACCTTTTACCAGGTATGTGAACTCTGAGGCCAAAAGCAGATACATTTTTTTGTTGCTGCGTGTGATGTAAGTTACGTTACTTGATTTTGATTGATGCCGTCGTAATCTCGTAATGTCTGGGACAAAATTACAAATTTAATTAAAACATATTATATTTTTATCAGACTCTTCCCCAAACACAATTTAACAAGTAGTCATATTGAATCAAATGAATTGCAAAAAAATATTTGAGGCCAAATATTTTTTCCACTCTTTATTTTTTTTTGTATGGAAATCACCTTGTGACCCCCACTTTGGAAACCACTGGGCTAATATAACTAATACAGCTTACAGCCTGTGTTGCCTTCACAGCGATTTGCTTTTGTTTTTTGAACCTTTTGAGTTGAGAACCCCTGCGCTAGTCTCTCTGGTCTCTTACTCCTTTTTCTCTCTCTGGTCGGTCTCTCTAGTCTCTTTCTGGTGTGTTGCCCTCTCCCTGGTCTATCTCTAATCTCTCTGGTCTTGCTCTGGTCTTTCTTTATTTATTTGGATATGCAGACATTAGTTTCGGATTTAGTACAACAGACTGAATATTAAACTATAGCTGGTGAGGTAAAAGAAATTTGGCGTTTAGCAAACTTCAGCTCAGATGTGAATCAATATGGACCTGGTATACTGTTATTAGAATGTTGTTTAAGTTATCATTTGATTGAATCATATGTGGCTAAAAATGGTGGTATTGTAATTCACCTTTGGCTCCAGCCAGTCTGGATGAAGGGGGTTTTGTATGTCAATCCATTTTGCCAGGAGGAAGTATGCCTTGTACTAGTTACATCTAAACAGGAGGGTTAGTTTACATGTTAATAAGGAAGGTTTTGTCTTGGTCTTGTCATTGTCCTTTGTTCTGTTGGTTCTTCCATTCCTATCTGCGTAGGAATGTGTGTCTGGTACTATAAAAAGGAAGTTACAGTCTGTCGCAGTTTAGATCTGCTCTGAAAGAGGCCAAGCTCTCATGTGCTCTGTCCAGGTAAAAACATAAACATCTACTTCATTTTAAAGCTCAGAACCAGTGAAAACAGTTTTACAATCCGTGTTGTCGGCCCCTGGACAAATCTGTGGACAAATCTAAAGTGGCACTCTTACTAAAAGATTTGGACACCCATGAGCTATAAGTTAGATTGTGAGATTTCATAACACTTTGAAGCAACTTTTGTTAAAGTTAAACTCATCATTCTATCAATGTGCAGAAGCCTGTACTTTTCCACTTCATGTTTTGACTATCTCTGCTGGCACTGTGGCAGCTGCTGATTGGAGGACTTCATTCTCCCATGCTATATTATCACTAACAGTTTGTTACATCCTTTGTTCGTGTTGTCGTGCTGTCTCTACCATTGACAATAAAACATGTCTTCTGTCTGAATGAAAGACGCGATCCCAGACTTTGTGATCTTCTTCAAGATAAAAGTAAACAGTCAAAAACATTTAGGGGAGGAATTCTCAATTCAAGTCATTCAAAATCATCTAGAGTCATATCATCTCGAAAACACATTTTTCTCAAGCACAGTCTGAATGCTGACCTGTCTTTCTTGGCCTCCGAGTGCTTTTTCGACACTTTCCCTTCAGTTGATTCTTTCCTGTAAGAAAGACAGTGGATTTCACATGTCCCACAATCAGGTTCAAACAGGATTATGGCTGTAGTACGGTCACATGCACAGCCTCAGTTGCAAACACCTCATTCCAAGCTTCAAAAGGACTCGTCACTTCTCTGGGGAAACGTTGAAATAACATTTTATCCCCTAGAATTATAAAGCTTTGTCTGTGATCAGGGTACTATTGAGATATTGAGGTCTAAAGTTCTGAAGTTCTGTTTTTGGATATACTGCTCAACGTGATTGCATTGGATTTACTAAATTTTGAATAATAAAAAACCTGAAATATTACCTCTGAATTAATTAGTGATCATGTCTGACACCCATGGTTCATAATATATTTTAGTATTTTGGCATTTTTAGTATTTTTCTGTTCAAAATGGTCTTGATTTATTGTAGAATGTTCGATTAGACTGAAAAAAAAAGACAGCTTTATTTTTACATTGCATCGGCCAAAGCTAAAAAGTAAAACGTAAAATTCAGTCGATCCACTCTTTCAGGGGTTTAAGGGGTAGTCATACAAGCGTACCAGCCGATGCCATGATGCCTCAAGCACCTAACTGTAAATGGTAAAACATCCAACTTTAAAACTGCCACCAGACAATTGTCCTTTGGCAGACAATTGTCCTTCGGCAGAAAAGGGCGCAAAATGGCTCGGATAATGGTGCTTTCAGACTGGATCATGCGTTGCGTTGGCTTTCAATGCAAAGTCTATGGTGACGAGCGTTCGAGCGTCACAACGCACGGACTTCTCGGCACGCACGAACAGACTGTTCAGTAGAGACGCACGGACTTGGCGGGAAAGTCAAAGGGGAGGAGCAGGAGCAAAAACCGACGCCCACAGGAGATGGATTCTGCTCATCCTTTCCTTCGGACGTTCGTGCGACAACCAATCAAAGAGCAGCAAAGTGGTCACGGGGACATTAGCGGACTGAGCGAGCAGACTGAAAATACTCGTAAACAGCCAAAACAGGACCCACACCAGGCTTCACCAGAACTCAAACCAGGGTTGACAATGGGGGACTCTGTAATTGTAAAAAATATGGGTTTTCATGCTCCCGTGACCTTATGCAACTGCTTCGAGTGTGTTCGCCGATGCGGAAATAGTAAGTAAGTAAGTAAGTAAGTAAGTAATCTTTATTTATATACCGCCTTTCACAGACCAGAGTCACAAAGCGGTTTACAATTGTTATTTTTTGGGCACTTGTGCTCTCACTCCACACAGAGATGGGAGCGGGGTCGCCGAACAGACCTAGTGTACATATTTTTAGTGGTAGGGGAAACCGGAGTACCCGGAGGAAACCTACGCAGACACGGGGAGAACATGCAAACTCCACTCAGAAAGGTCCTGGTCCGACCGGGATTCGAACCCAGGACCTTCTTGCTGAGAGGCGAGAGTGCTATCCACTCAGCCACCGTGCCGCCCGTATACCGTTTAATAATATGAATAAACGTATGGCGCACCTCCGTGAACACATACTACTGTTTTATAAAGCCCGTGGAAGGTCTCTGAGCAAAGACACGCTGCAAAGCTGCATATTGGAGAAGATCTGTACACAAGAAGCCGCTAGCTAATCTCTGTTAGCATCAGAGCCTGCCGGCTACTTCCAGGACTTCCGGCTCGCGTCAGGACGTTCTGGTGTGAAGACCCCCGTGTCTGAAAACTAGAGAGTGCGCGTCTGGTGAGCGGGGCTTCAGCGTTTCAGCGTTGGCGGTCTGAAAGCTCCATAACAAAGGTTTGAGACCTCTGGTCTAGAGCGACCTGTGAGAGAAGAGAAGCTGGACATGTAATATTAATATTAACATTGGTTTTAACACTTTTATGGATACTGAAAGTCGCTTTGCATGTCATTATTCATTCACTCCATACAGTGATGATAAGATACTACTGTAGCCACAGCTGCCCTGGCACACACTGACAGAAGCGAGGCAATCAGTATGTGTCATTGGCAGCATTACACTAACAAAACTACTTTTTCCGGGGAAAAGTAAAGTTAACTAATGTTAACTATCAACAATATAGTAACCTAATCCGACACTCCGCAGGTAAAGTGTGACACAGCAGTGCCAGTGAGGCTGACTTTTTTTCTTTTTATGAGGAGGAAGACACAACGTTCTTTAGCACAGACTCTGAGGTACTCGAGTAAATGTGATCAGGCTCAGAGTAAGAGGTCCTAAACCCCGAGTGAGAGCTGTGTTTATCAAAACAACCCAATGTGTACATGCTCTGTGGCATGTTTGATAATAAAGAACATGAGATAAATATCTGTTATGAAAGTTGAGTATAAAAACACAAAAGTAAAGTAAAGAAGTTACTTTCTTTAGAGAGTAACTAAGTAAAGTAACAGGCTATTTTTTAAAAGAAGTACCAAACACTGCTCATCAGACCCTCCATGCACTACCAACCATTCACACGCACACACACACACACACACACACACACCAGGCATTGTGGGTGAAGTGTCTTGAAACAACAGTTCGGCACTTTACAGTCACAGCCAACCCACTGTGTGTATATAGTATAAATAATACAAGGTGGTATGCATGTACAGTATACTGAGACAAGAGTCTCAGTATACTGTACATGTCACAACATGTAGCAGACCCTGACCTGTCTTTCTTCCCCTCCGCAATGGGACGCTTGGGGGCAGGAGGGGGGTGGAGGTGGAAAGGCAGGGGGCCCAGAGGAGCGTTGGGATCTGGATTCTCTTTTCTGAATGACAGAGCTTGGTTTAGAATGATTACGCATTGCACACAATGCAGACATGGAGGCTGCTCTGACCTGGCGGGGGGGTGGAGGTGCAGCGGCAGGGGGGCGATGGGGGCGTTCGGGTCAACAGGGAGCTTCCTATTGTGACACATGGGAAAATTATAAACTGCAAAGCAAGCGGTGAATATTTCAATTCAATTAATTTCTTTTTGCACAGCCCTGAATCACAACAGCAGTTATCTCAGAGGACTTTAGAACAAAAAGAAGAGTGATTAATGAAAAGAAAACATACTCCCATGTAGGGGTGGGAACCTAAGGGTACCTCACGATACGATACGATACAAAGCTCACGATAACGATATTATCACGATAACGATATTATCACGATAACGATATCATGATGACGATTTTATCACGATATGACGTTTATCAATATATTGGTCAGAAATATACAATATGCCAATTTATAGCATAAATAAAAGAAAAACTACACTTTATTTCATGATAAATGGAATGGATATGCGTAATGTAGCCATATATTAAGTATTGATACCAAATTTTTTTTTTATTGTAAAAAAAAAAAAAAAGAAAAATTCTATTTTTTTTTTCTCAAAATCGATAGATACTTGGCAAATGCATATCAATAATCGAATCGCGGGAGAAAGTATCGCGATATGTCAAAAAATCGATATATCGTCACACCCCTACTTCCATGTAGATCTGAACTGACAAAGAAATCTCAGAATCAAAGTGGATATTCTGTTCCCAGGCTGATCAAACTTAATAATAATAATAATAATAATAATACATTTTATTTATATTGCACCTTACATTTCGAGGAAACCTCAAAGTGTTCCACTGTGAAGAGTCCTCCAGACAAGTCTGTATGAGCCTCATTATTGTGTGCGTGACTCTATTTGCCTGTATACACTTGCTACAATGTCTTGGGATTTGGCTCTGAACACTATGGGGGACGTCAGTCCTCAGGTAGTCATCTCATTTGACAGTCCGTTGTTTGATTTATTGAGATTATGCATTGTTTTTCCTTTAATGCATCTGTGCTCATTCCAGCCAAAATCAAGTTATGCTGTGATCAATAATCATAATCTTTTTTGTGTTTTATGACTTAATACAGATGCAGTCTTTGAAACGGCCTTCAGGATCTAGATCTCACAACCGTACAAACTTCTGTCTCTGGAGTATTCTTTTTTCTCTTCCATGAATTGCTTTTTCCTGTTACTTGCTAATACTTTGTCACAGTCCATTCCAGAGGCGTGAAAAATGCATATGTGATAATGACCTGTATTCAAGTCATTTTAAGCCTAAGCAGCCTGAGTGACGGCAGTGTGAGCTCTGACCTCTTTATTTCCAGGGAAGGCCGTTTGATTGTTGGGGATGTGGGTTTGAAGACTTCAGAATGAGAATGTTTCTGCCACTCTTTGCTCTCTTTTCTGCACAAAACAACAATGAAATTGACTTCTATCCTTCACACGACTGTCAAACGTTGGGATTAGGAAACAAAATGCAATCCACTTTTCAACATGCAGAAGTGGGACAATGCAAACTGATGCGGAAGAGCTATGTGAGTCACTGCATGCCTCTTTGGGCTGAAAGCTGAGTCACTTTAGTGTGGGAAAGCTGCTTTAGCTGGTTTTGCTAGTGTCAAACATCCATGCATGTGAACGTTAGAACGTAATTCAGAGGAACCAAATGCAAAATTTGGTTACTGTAATTGAAACCAATTTTTGCACTTGGTTCCTCAATTTAAGATCATGTTAAGACTTTTAACTGTTCCCAGATACAAGGTCCACATGGTATTTGAGCAAAGGTCTCCAAAATACGATCCATTAAATCATTGGCCTATGCTCATGTTCACCATGTTGTCTGCCCCAAAGAGAAGGATGAGCATTTAATGTGGTCCTGGTCCTTTGGGACAAGTGCCGTGGTCCTAGTCCTGGTCGGATATCTGGTGTGGTCCTCTGTACTGTGGGTCTGCCCAGGAGTGGATGAGATGTTGTGAGATTGTCTTGGCTGACTTGTCTCTGTACATCTCTGCCTCTCTCCCACTCTTGAAGAAGGGGTCTGAAGGGTGTGTTCCAATCATTGTGGGATCCTAATCTTCTCTGGTAAGGTCTACTCCAAGGTACTGGAGAGGAGACTGTGACAACAGTGAGGTTTTTTGTATCCGGATACAGAACACTGGACCACCTCTATACCCCTCATCACATGGGGCCCAAACTGTCCACAAGTTCTTTGTGGGTCCCGAGGTGTCCTTTGGGGGTTCTCGAGGAGTACAGGGTCGGGGGTCCTCTGCTTTGGGCCATCCAATCTCTTTATGGCCAGAATCAGAGCTGCGTTCGCATCGCCAGTCAGACTGGATCTCAGTGCTTGAGACCCAGTCTGTCCTTCTTTATATGGAGATCAGCCAGGTGAGGTGGCTCCAGCATCAGATTTGGATGCCTTCTTGACGCCTCACTGCAGAGGTCTTTCAGGCTTGTCCCACCAGGAGAAGGCCCTGGGAAGACCCAGGATGCGTTGGAGGGACTATGTCTCTCAGCTGGCCAGGGAAAGCCTCGGTATTCCCCCGGATGAGCGGGAAGATGTGTAGATGAATGAGTGTCCCTGCTTAGACTGCCCTAATTAGAATAGAGAAATGTTTATGCTTTGGTTCGGTTAAATTTAAACTTCTGGAATGGTTTATGGAAGCTAATATTAGGCTCTATTTTTGTTTGTGGGCATTAGAGTGATGGCAGATGAATACGGCAGATGAATACCCAGCCTGCAAAGCATTATGGTATTGCACAAGTAGGGACTGGAAGATCTATAGACTGCCAAACCATGAGTGGCCTTTGAGCAGGTACTGGAAAGGGCCTTTCTAGATAATATTTCCCACGGTGATTTCGGCCTCTAAAGAGAAAACAGTCTGGAGATGACGTAAGAAGTAGACGCATATAGCAGCGCGAAGACGTTATGGTCCCGTGCTTTTCTAAACTATAATTTATATTGTTTGAATTTACATATTGTTACTGAGTCAAATATAACATATAGTGACCAACCTTTTAGGTGTTTGCAAAGTTACAAAAATAAATCTAGCCAGAAAAGTCATCGTAATTTTGATGGATCAGTACACGCACAATGTGTCGTCTTAGTCTTTTATTTCGGCTAGAATTACAATTACTTAGCATATTTAGACAAATAATTTACACAGTTTCATTATGATCACGATTCCTTTGCAACATCAAGTTCTGGTTTAGTGAACAATCAATTTGGCAAAAGGCTGTATCAGCGCAAAATACATAGCGGTCAACTGACCGCAGGGGGCGGTGCAAGGTATGTTTAGAGCACGGCGGTCCTAGTGTTAAGCTAATACCCTATCCAAATATGTGAATAGATCTATGCCTTCTACTGATGTACTATGGCCATGATTGCCATATTTTTTACATAAACTGTGGGGGCAGATTTAATTACTTGTTCAGTAAATTACTGAAAGCATTCAATTTTGGAGCGCTTAAAAATCTGTAAAAGCTACACATAGTCCCTGCTCCGTCCCTCTTTCACTGACCAAACTGATGAAGCCGAAGCATGCAAGAGGAACGTCCATGCATTGTGAGCCCATGCTGTTGACCTGGCCTTCTTGGAGTCCTGAGAGGGCCGTTTGATGGCTTTAACAGGAAGCGGAGCCCGAGCCGGTCGCGGAGGTGATGGGTAACGGCTTGGGTATAAAATACTGCTGTCCAAAACGCTCTTTCTGCAATCACACACCACAGCCACGCATCTCAAACAGTCTGCATGTTAGTTCAGGCAAAATACAAGGAACTCTTTGCAAAAGTATTTTTTTCACTATAGTGTAGGTTATATCTACAAAGGTGTGCAGAACGGTCCGTGCATTTTTTGTTCAATGGTTTTTTATCAAATTAATCTTAAAATGTCTTGAATTTTAATTTTTCATTTGGATGAGGAAAAGGAAAAACGAAAAAAAAAAAATATTGACATTTGATGTTTTGTTTCAAAGCAGAAAATGAAAAAACTAAATATTGGATAATGGTTTCTTTATGCTTCATTATCAATGTGTTTGTTTTGGCTCTAGTTGTTTAAAATTCTCAAAAGAATTATGGCATTACTATTATTTATAGGGTAGAGCCCTGCACTTGAGCCCTTGGCCCGAGGGCCCCGACGGCCCGACAGCCCGAGGGCCGGGCTTCGGGCCGATGACCGCATAATGACCTCGGACACGGGCCGGGCTCGGGCTCTTCATTTTCAGAGCGGCAGAATAGATTTACGAGCGCACCCACTGAATATAGCGTTCTATCACGCTGTAGTGTTTGTTGTTCTGTGTAGTGTTGTCATTGACGGCACATAGCATTACTTATGTAATGTGCAGATGTGTTGCAGCATCGGGGGCATCATACAGATGCGGCCGTTCACTCTGCACCACTCCGCACACACAGAACTCATTGCAACACATCACTACCATGTATAACTCCGCCCTCTAGCTAAGTCTGCGTTCATATCAGTGCGCGGCACTATATACTACGCTAAAACATTGTTATGGGAGGTTACAAAAAAAAAAAAAGGCGGGCTTGATGCGGGTTTCGGGCCTGAAAATTCAGAAACCATATCGGGCCGGGCCGGGCTGGGGCGCCACCCCCTCGGGCCAGGGCCGGGCTCGGGCCCAGATAATAGGCCCGTGCAGGGCTCTATTCCAGGGCATGTCAAAAACGAACCAGGGGTGCGAGAGACACGGAGTTTTCACCCACGCACTCCTCCGGTTCTGGGCTATCACCGGGGAGGGCTTTGCTCCCACTCAGACCCAGGCCTGAGCGCTCATTCCCGGGGGAAGGAAGCCCGGCTTTCCGGGCTCCTCAAAGCCGAGCCAGGGAGGGTAGAGACACGGGGGTGGGACCCAGGGACTCCCCTGGTCCTGGGGCACCCGCGGTGTGAATTTGACGCGTGGGGGATAAAGGACCAGAAAGTTATGGCCCTTGGAAACCACCGGGGGACCGTGCGCCTGCCATCCGCCCAAGAGCGCTCATTCTGGGGGAGGAGAGGACCGCAGCAGCAGGGTCAGGAGGCACGCTGCTCCATACTCCCGTGCTTATGGCCATACCACCTTGAGAATGCCCGATCTCGTCTGATCTCGGTGTTGAAAAGTGTTGATCAAGGGATTCAGACAAACACACCTGGAATATCCCAGAGGTGAGAACTCTGCAGGAGGTGCTTTGAACAAGTTCAACAATAGCTGCTTTGATCCCACTGACACTGAACTGAAACTCTATTTTCTATACAGATTGTTTTGTCAAATACTACTGTTTGCCCTGAAATATGATCAATAAAAAGAAAGACTTCAATAATGTATGACATTATAATATATTTATTGTGAACAGATGAAAAAAGAGATATTTACAAATTTAAGAAATACACTTAGAAGAAAAACAACAACATGCTATCTTTATCTTCTTAAACTAGTATTTGTGTGATGAGCCCTGTGACTGTGACGGCTGAGAGCTGACTATACAGAACTGTAGATGCAGACTTTACAAATGAAATTATATAATTAGATTTAATCAATATTAAGTATATGTTTACATAATAATTAGAATATTTATAAACATTTATGAACAGACAGGTATAATATAGTAACTATATACAATAGCACCAATAGACAGCAGATAGCTCATTTATTTACACGCCACCTTTCCCTCTCCCGGTCATAAAAAGGAGACTGCTGGAACATCTGCGTCTCCATCCCCTGGTCCTTGTACAGGGAGAATACTTTGGCAGGGCAGTAGATGTATTTTCCTGACAGACCAGGGAATTGTGTATGAATGTGAGGACTGTCTGGTCCCTGCTTCAGCTGCAGTTTGCAGAACCCGCACTTTCTCCCAGTGGCAGGAGACTCATCTCTCTTCCTTTTCTTCTCCTGCCGCTCATTCACTCTCTGCTGCGTGGCCTCCAGCTCTCTCTGGTAGAACTCAAGTGTCCATAAAGTCTCGGAATGGCATCCTGGAGTTGGTCAAACCCTCTGTGCGATAGGTGTTATAGACCTTGGTGGAGCAATAGAAATACCTGGTAGGACCCGGCTGGTAAAACTCGTGGATGGAGCTGCCATTGCCCTCATATTTGGATTTTGGCTGGCCACAAGACAGGCATTTCTTTGTGTGGGGTTTATTTCCTGGAGGCTGCTGCTGCTTTTCCAAGATCCGCTGCACAACCTTCTCTATGGCCTCCTCAGACAGCGGTGACATGAGAGTCTGAGCAGGAGGAGGGGGGTTCACTGCTGCAGGGGGCATGGTGACAACAGGCACTGTGCTGGTCTTACTGCCTGCTGTGAGCGAACGATGTACTCCCCCAGCACTTCAGCCTTGTCTGAAACATCACCTCCTCTCACTCGCACCAGAGTGAGGGCGTTCTCCCTCACCACCTCCTCCCTCAGAGGAGCACCGCACTCCCTCATGGACGGGTCGTCCCTGATCTTCCTTGCCTCCTCCGAAGGGTCCTGCAGCAGGAATCCACGTGGGCCCTTGCGAAAAATCACAGTGACGCGGCCAGGAAAGAATGAAAATGTCTTCATATTGTCTGCAACAACAAAAAAAGATGATAAAATATCTAGCTATAGCATGATAGAGAAGTATGTATAATGTATATATCTTTAGCATAATAAAGAATAAAATAATAAAATTTAGCATTATAAAGAAGCATGAATCCTGTATAATCTAGAGAAGACATATACAGTTGTATGTTTACATCTGGACATTAGCAGCATGAGGCTCTGGGATACAGTAAGTACAGTTATAGAAGGAAAATATGAACTGGTAAAACACTAATACATTGTCGTAAACTAACTGCATATAATTCATTTTCAACTCAATGTGTTGCTGAACTATAGAAATGTGAAATACATATAGATAGTACACACATCAACAATGATTAGCTAATAATAATTAGCTAGCGCTGGAAATACTACTACAACCACACGTAAACAAAATGCATTACTGTATACAGTAGAATACAGTGAATACAGATTGTTTGACAACGCAGAGAAAGTGTTTTCTTTACAATATTGATCCAAACAGAGAGATCTACGAGCAGCAGAAACAAACATATGACACGGAGGTAAACAATCATAAACAGCGCACTACACACTCGAGATTTAAACTACAGACGTGTGTGAACGATCTACGCACAATGAGAGATTTATGGAGTGAAACATAAAGAACAAGCACAAAAACATTGTGTTTATCAGAGGAGACTTACCGAGTGCGTGTGTAATCCAGAATGAATGGAGAAAGCCGGCTCTCTCTGTTTGAGAGCAGCGCGCACGAAGTTTTCCCCATAGTACTTGGATGGGAGACCGCCTGGGAATACCAGGTGCTGTAAGCATTTTGCCCCTGGAGCTCGGGCCTGGGGGCGAGCTCAACAACAGCGCATAGTTATTCCGTTTCAAAACAAAATCAGAAAAACAAATTACGTGGTTGTTTTATTGTATTTCCATTTTCTAAATTAAATTGGAAAATCAAAACATTCTAAATGAAATATTCACCCATTTCTTTGCTATGCAGTGGAAACAAACACAACTAAAACAACTTCCATTATTTTGTTTGATATGCTACCGGAAATGATGAATGGTGAGAGACGGAAACAACTGCAAGCTGCACTCAACTCAACTCAACTACACGATAACAACTCGCGCTGTTGTTGAGCTCGCCCCCAGGCCCGAGCTCCAGGGGCAAAATGATTACAGCGCCATTTGCACCTGCGGACTGTCCTCCCCGGCTCGTAGGCTGCAGCCCACTCCCTGCCTGGGAGCTGCCTCAGTCCTCGTTCTGCAGCCCGAGTCCCGCTCCGCGGGGCCTTGGTCCTCATTCTGTAGTTTAAGTCCTGGATCTATAGCCCGTCCGTCCATGTGGAGCGGATCCCTTTCTCAATATCTGGTCTCCCAGAGGTTTCTCACTTTTCTCCCACTGGGTTTTAGAGTTTTTCTTTTTATGCAGGAGGGTCTATTGGACAGTTAGTGTCTAACAAAAAGGACTGTGATGATCCAGGACACTTTAACATTCTACATTTGTGTCTACTCCTTGCGGACCAATGGTTGTGTTTTTATCATTGTGCTTGTGCTTAAAGTGTTATTCTCTGATTTGTGTTTTGAAAGCTATACAATGTATTATGTGCTTTGGATTTGCCTGATATTTATTAAAAAAATTTAATTAAGTCTCGATGCTCTTTCAATATTATTTATGCATTTATTTGACAGGGACAATGCAGACACAGTCATAAACAAAGCTTGCAGGCGGTCTCCCATCCAAGTACTAACCAGGCCTGACATTGCCTAGCTTTCAAAATCAGACGAGATCGGGCATTCTCAAGGTGGTATGGCCATAAGCACGGGAGTATGGAGCAGCGTGCGTCCTGACCCTGCTGCTGCGGTCTTCTCCTCCCCCAGAATGAGCGCTCTTGGGCGGATGGCAGACGCGCGGTCCCCCGGTGGTTTCCAAGGGCCATAACTTTCTGGTCCTTTGTCCCCCGCGCGTCAAATTCACACCGCGGGTAGCCCGGGACCAGGGGAGTCCCTGGGTCCCACCCCGCGTCTGTAGCCCCCCTGGCTCGGCTTTGAGGAGCCCGCGAGGTCTCTTCTCTCTTCCGGTGTCGCAAATAATCCATCCATCCATCCATTTTCTACCCTTTAATCCATTTCTGGGTCAGGGGGGTGGCAGTCAGAGATGCCACCCAAGTCTCATAGCACCAGCCCCTCACTGACCCTCTGCAGGTGGTGAGGCCACAGGAGGACGGCTGCTCTCTGACTGTGAGCATAGCCTTGATCTTTCAGTGGGGGCTTTGGGCAAAGTGGGGTTAAGTGTCTTGCCCAAGGACACAACGACAGCAGTCATCAGTGGGAGTCGATGGAGAAGGTGCAGAGGTGGGAATTGAACCCACGACCTTCTGGCCGCAAATAATAATAAAACGAAATAATAGTAATGCCATAATTCTTTTGAGAATTTTAAACAACTAGAGCCAAAACAAACACATTGATATTGAAGCATAAAGGATTTATTTTTTTATTCAAGTTTAGAAAAGGAAAAGAACAATAAACGAATGGAAATTTTGATTTTCTGATTTTATTTAGAAACGGAATAACTAATGATCGAAGGGTACACGGATTGTTTTAGACCGATTTGATTTTGTTTTTTTGATTTGGCGCAACCAGAAGTTGGTTGTGCGGCCGCAGTGGAGCTGCGTTTTGGTTCCACAGAAGATTCTGCCAGAACCCTGAGCCAGAGAATGAAAAAAAAACCATGCCATATACATGTAATCCCCTTCCAGTCGCGTCAAAAGGTGATAAGCAGATACGTGCGCGGAGAAAGCAGGCAGGCCCAGGGAGTGTTCATACAGTAAGGTTTAACATAAATCCAGGTGCTGTGGCAAACAGTTGAAGATCTTTTCTCTACCCTCTAAAGGTTTACATTAATTACAATATACATGTCTTATAAGAAATGAAAAAAGCCACAATGGTCATAATTGTATATTGCCGTGTGCCTGAAAGTGCAAAATAGCCTTTTTTCAATTTTCCATTGGCTATTTTGCACTTCCAGGCACACGGCAATATACAAAAATGAACAATAAGACATGCATATTGTAATAGCCAGATTTTGGAACTATAAAATGCAATAATGAACCTATTTTATTGTGCATTTAATACATTTTGGCGTCAGTCGATTACCCGGAAGTGAAACGAGTTTGTTTACTTGCCCGGGATTATTGTTAACCCAGAGACTGACCCTGAGATCTTAAGTCCTGTTCGAATGCGCCGTGTCTGTAATTTGTAAAGTAATAAATCCGCCGCAAATTACCTTCTGTATTTGTCCAAAAACAGACGTCCTGTGATAATACTTATCCTGCGAATCTGTCAGTAATTGTGATTCCTAATGCCGCTTTTTCTACTTTCTGCGTGGTTTTTTTGTCAATGAGCAGAGGAGTCACGTATCGCGGCTGTGAACACATCTGCATAGTCGCGGCTGCTGCTTTCTCTGTGAGGTCTATGGAGAAGTGTAGAGGACAGTGTATTGTGTTCCCGGACACTAAATGATCAGACCGATGGGTTGCATTTGTACGTTTACTTTGCACACTGTGGTAATACAGTACAGACGTGTTGGTGCAACTGCTTGTCGGCTCGCACGTTTCTCAGTATGTGGTGTGTTCATGGGTAGTCCGTACAAACAGCATTGTTAAACATTACAGACAGCACTGCAGAGCGGTAAAATCCTGTGGCTGCTGTGGTCAGACACCAGTCTTTATGAACTGCGTGAAGCGGGGAGACCCGAGCACGTGCGGCCGCTATGTGAGATGTCAGAGAAAATTTAGTAATTTACAGACATTGCTTATCCCGTGTGAATGCACAGCAAGATCTCAGACGTCCTCCACAATTATCACAAATTACCAGGGGTCCACAGGTAAAATAGCCTGGCCTTAGCCCTCCGTTCTCTCCGGTCAATCATCATTTTCCTGCATGTAACGTCTGGGTCTGGTCCTTGTGTTAGCGATTACAATTGCTTGAATTTCGACCGACCAATCAGAGAGTGCGGAAGGCGGGTGTTGTTTAGATGTGGGTGACGTCAAGAGTTTGCGTCGAACGGGCAGGTTGTAGTTTGGCAATGGCGAAGAAGGCGATAGTAGGAGGTTGGCAAAAATGGCGGACTGAGCACACCTACTTTTTGTTAGCTCTTGGTTTTCTTCCTCCAAAGTTGGTTTATTGAATTACTATCCACCGAACAATATCCAAGGCTTTTTAAATGACTTCACAAACATCCTCTGACCAGCTGTCTAAAATGAATACCAACGCTCCTGATATTCCACAGAAGCATCTTGACCATGAATACGCTATGGACACGAATCGGAACAAAGACAAGAGAAGACGGGAAGACTCGGCCCCCTCTACGCCATCGAAAGTTAGTGCTCCTAAGATGCCGAAACATGATGATGAAGAAGATATATCAGGCTCATTAATTCTTGCCGCTATCAACAAGCTCACTGAGAAGTTTGATTCGCAAGAAGACTGCATGAGAGAGTTCAAGGCTAAGCTAACGCAGAAGATGAAAGAAGATGGAACCTCAAATCAAAGGCATGAATGAAGTTATGAACGAAGACACTCGAGACAAAGTTATCGAACTTTTGAAGAAAATTGCTCCGCACTGGGCTGATAAGATGGATGAACATGTGGGTGTCGTACAACGGCTTGGCCCGAAGGAGAACGGAGAATGAGGAACATCATCGTCCAGTTTCCAAAACGACACCCTAGAGATGCAATTTGGAAGATGACAAAAGATTGAAGGATCTGCAAGAGCGCTGGTATCAGGTTTGCTGAATATCTCACCAAGGAGGTCAAAGAGGCCAGAGAGGTATTATGGCCGCTCATTAAACAAGCACGTGAGGAAGGCAATAAGGCTTATTTCCATGGGCCTCAGGGATATATTAATGGTCATCGTATCTAGAATTAAAACCTTTCAGTGTTTTATGTGGGTGATAATTGACAGGAGGAAGAAACCATGTTTACCAACTACCTTAAAACCCTAAGCCCCTTTTTTTAACTTTGTTTCTTTGTTTTTGTTTTGCTGTGAGGTTAACCAGCAGATGAATGTTCTAAAAGCCAACTTAAGTTTTGTTTCATTGAATACAAGGGGTCTTAAAGACAATCTAAAAAGAAAAGCAATTTTAAAAGTTAAATGTCACTATATTTTTCTTCAAGAAACTCATTCATGTGTACTGGACGCCACCTACCGGACAACGCAATGGGGAGATCAAATCCTTTTCAGCCAATGGAAGTAATCGATGGCAGGAGTCGCCATCTGCTTTAATAAATGCCCCGGTAATGTCATCTCATTCAAAGCAGACGATAAAGGACATTGGTTGTCAGTTTTCATAAAAATTGATAATGCCTACATAATCCTAACTAATGTTTATGGTGGGGCGACAGTAGCTCAGTTGGTAGAGCATTGGCCTTAAGCCCAGAAGGTCGTGGGTTCAATTCCCACCTCTGTACCTTCTCCACCGACTCCCACTGATGACTGCTGTCGTTGTGTCCTTGGGCAAGACACTTAACCCCACTTTGCCCAAAGCCCCCACTCAAGGCTATGCTCACACTCAGAGAGCAGCCGTCCTCCTGTGGACTCACCACCTGCAGAGGGTCAGTGAGGGGCTGGTGCTGTGAGACTTGGGTGGCATCTCTGACTGCCACCCCCCTGACCCAGAAATGGATTAAAGGGTAGAAAATGGATGGATGGATGTTTATGGTTATAACACTACCACCCAAAACAAGGAGTTGTTACAAGAAATCACAGAAGTGGTTTCTGAATATAAAAGGATGTATCACACAGACTTCATTCTCTTCGGAGGAGACTTCAATTTAGCACCGGATGATTATTTAGATCGTTATCCGTCAAAATTCACAGATATGCATTGTAATATAACACTTTTTCATTGATTGATATATGAGAAACAAAAATCCCAACCTTAGACAATATTCATGGCGCAATAATGGAGCAATAAGGTCTCGGATTGATTTACGGTTAATTACACCTGAATTGTGTAACCACGTCTCAGAGGTAACTAAATGCACCGTTAACTGATCACTGTCTCCTTAATCTTAATTTAAAACCAAACATAAATACTAAAAAAAGGAATGCATAGTGAACATTGTATGCAGATTTATTGAAAAACCAGGAATACTGCAACCAAGTTAAGGACTTAATAACAGAAATTAGATATGATGTAAATATTGGTAACTACTGTTACCACTGGGGATTCTTTAAATTTAAGGTCACACAGATGTCAATACGTTTTGGGAAGTAGAGAAGTAAAACCTTAAGGGAACAGGAACTCAAACTGATACAGAACTGGACGAATATTGTAAGAAAACCCCAATGTTGGAATCGGACAAGGCTGCCTTTATCAATCTCAAATCCAAATTAGACGAGTTAAGTTCTCGGAAAGCCGGGGGAGAGTCATTAGATCAAGAGCCAAATGGCTAGAAGATGGTGAACATAATACAGCATATTTTTGTGGACTTGAGAAGAGGAGGCAAGAAAGAAATCAGATTAACACACTCATGATAAATGATGTTGAATGTGTTGATCCCAAACTTATTGCAAGAGAAGTCTACACATTTTATAAGGAACTTTATTCAACCACCACTGACAGAAACTCGTCTCTATTGGACAGCTTAAAACAGGACATCCCGACCATCAGCCAGGACTTTAAAGACATGTGTGTTATTATTTGTTAAATGTCTTATAAGAAATTAATAAAACCAAAATGGTAATTTTTTTTATATTGCCGTGTGCCTGAAAGTGCAAAATAGCCTTTTTTCGATTTCCCTTCAAAAATATAATTTGCATTGTACGCAAAAGTACACGGACCAACAACACTAACCATTGGCTCTCAACCAGTGGGCTGTGAGCCTTTTCTGGGCAAAGATTTACATTTTAAAATATGAATTTATGACTGCAGCGTGTATCTTTCAGAGCATGCCAATACGATATGTATTTCTTGATACGCATGACACTACAATATCGTATGTCGATAAAGTCCTATACAGTAGGTCCCATTCCGTTTTGTCGCCTTTCACGCGTGAATCACACGCGTCTTTTATTTTCCCCCCTCCCAGTGACGTTGCAATGACCAAAACAACCACCAGGTGGCACTTGTGAGCAGGGTTACATTGGCGAGTTTCTGCCCCGCACACAATGACAATCTGGTTAAAAGGAGCAACTCCTTGTAGCAGGCCAGTCTCTGGAATAACCCGCAGACATTAAAACTACTGCATACACTGATAAAAATAAATTTTAGGTGTACTAAATGTTATCATATAAAACTATATAATTCCTACATTGTTTATATAAGAAACTGTGTTTACTTACTTTTGCTAATTAAAATTGTGCACCAAAACGTGATTTAATCATTTAAAAAAGGGGTATTATATAGACACTGTAACAGTTACTTCAATTATAGAATTAGTCCATGTTCTATCAATGTGAAAACGCGAGTGAAATGTATTCAAAAAATTAAAGCTCCTGTTTGAATTAGCACATGCGCAGTGTGACCAAGACGAACGCGCGATCACACGGCTGTCGCTCTCTCCCAGCCGATCCATGCTCCCAGCAGACTCGAACGAACACGAAGTGGAACGTGAAGTTTAATGTAAGTAACTTTTCAATTGTTTTTCATGTGACAGTATATTCATTATTGTCTTTGGGTTGTGTTGCATTGTACACATGTCGTCATTGCGTCACATCAGCGTCGGCTAACATTATATTTTTAGATGCTAGGTATTTTTTCTCCTGCGTCAAAATGGAACTGAGAGATATTCAACTTTTTGTCACATGAAACAAGGCATAGCCTATGCTATGTTATCTAACGCTGGTTTAAAACTCAATTGAATATTAGTTTAGCGTTAATCGGACTAATTTCCATCCGCGGGAAATAAGGCACATGGTGTTTGCTAGCTTAGTTAAACAAGTTAACCATTTGAAAAGAACTAAATAATTTATTTTCTCATTTTCCTTGGAAGTAACACAAGGCTACGCAATGTAAGCAAATACATTGCTATACAGGCATGCTAAATAAAGCATGCCTGTGCTTTATTTAGCAAAGAGTTTGGTCTCGTTTCTCAAACATAAATCTGGGCTGTGTACAGAGGACTGCGTGCTTCGGTATGTACAAACGACGCTGCGCGTGATTTGATTCATAGCGTAGTTAATGTTGTAGCGTAGCTTCTTCTGAGGCCAGTTTTCATTACTTTCATGACTGTCTTTCTTATATCGCTATGCACTCCACTAAACATGGCTGATACTTAGTTATTATTGCTTAACAAGTAGATACGTCTTTCCGTTTTTTTCGTTTGGAGACTGAAAATATATCCCAAAGCATTTATGTTCCCCCCGTGCAACTAAAATTGTATGAATTATTTGTGAATTTAGACAATTAAATAATAATTATGTGAACATTGTGAAATTAATCACAAGTAATGTAATGTTACAGTATATTTGACAATTTATAAATATTACATTATTTATATATTATACTGTAATGTTAAAGTATATTTTACAATTTTCTTTCAGATTCAGGAGAGAAGTGCTGATATTGACACCAGATCTTATACCCACCACTTCTACTTTGGTAGCTTCAATCAGGTAAAAATGTAACTATACATTTGATTTATAGTTTACTAACTGTATACAACATTGAATCCATATTTTTGTCTTGCAGGGGACCAATAATCAAGACTCAAAGAAGGAGAAAGATTAGAGACAGTAGGCTTTTTAGATGAGATGGCAATGCAAAGTTTGCATTGCCATCTCATCTCAAAAGAGATGGCAATGCAAAGTTGGAGAATCACCACCATTCCTCTTGAGCAGACCTTCATGTTCAATCTGGACAAATACACTCCAAATTTACTTTCTGTGTTTGCGAAGAAGGGTGGTGCTATCGGGGCAAAACTGAAACCTGTTTTGAACAAACAGATACAGGTATGTTTAGTCATAACTTATGCTGAGTACAATACATAATTTGTTCTTTCCCATTGATAAATCCCTGTTTTGGTGCTATTTACAGAACCAAACAATTGAGATGAGACGTGACAATGTGATTCGTGGTTTAATGCTCTACCTCGGTGAAAATGAGGAAGAACTCTTTCTAGATTGCCAGGTACCATTCTTGATTTTTTCTCCCCCATTCTCTCAAAAACTCAGGGTCGTCCTATTCCTCACATATTTAAACTGTTTTGTAAGAGTGAGTGTCAACACTTCAAATACACCAAACGAAATACAGTGGTAATTTAAAGCTCTCACTGTCAGAGTTTGGGAACTCACTGCTCTTTCTTTTATAAACTTGTTTTGATTGTTTTTTTATATTGTGCCACGATGATGAACTCCAATGTAATGTAACACAGCATGTTGACCCATGACAAAAACACACGTCCGTGTTTTGGAATCACCTTATGGCTGTGTCTATGATTATGACCTGTCTTGTGATTATTGATCAATCAAGTATAATGTTTGAAGAGAACAAAGGTAGTCTGAGGCACTCTGTTTTGGTGAAAAAATTAAAAGTCCTTTAATGAATTGGACTGCCTACGCGTTTCGACCAACAGCGGTCTTTGTCAGGGCATAAATTAGATAAATAAAAAGATTTATGGCTATAGAAGTGAGCTATAGCTATAGCTATGTAAGCTATAGAGTGTATTTATCAAAGTAATTCTTCCTCTTTACAATTTACCCAGGCGCACTTAGAGGATGTTGGCCGGCACAAAATGAAGATCCTGGTCGTTTGTTCTTCCTCTGATGAAGAACCTGTGGATGTCTCTATTGTTCTCGACGGCAAGGAGATTGTGACTGGATGTGGAAATACTGCAAAGGCATGTGCACTGCTAATGGGTCTAATATATTCCTTCAATCTTGCTTATCCTACAACACTACGATACACCTTCGAAGTATTTCAGAAGATTTTCTTACATTTAGATGCATTTAAGCCATCCCCGAAAATACAAACACTGAAAGTCAAGCTACTGTCCAAAACATAAGAGAAGCAATTTTGTTCAGCATAAGAGAAAAGGCCACAGATTTTATATAATTTGATGTTGTTACTTTAGCTTAGACTCTAGCTTAGACTAGAATATGAAAATTAGTCATTAAAACATGGACATGTTAAATTAATTGACTATTCTTGAATCTAGTAACTCCTCATGTAACAGTGTTTTAATTAGGGAAAATGTGAAAGAGCTCGGCCACTTCTAAAATTACCTCGGTCTGGAGCCATTGAGATTTACTGCGAGAGGCTAATGCTACAACATCCTGGTCTTTAGCTGAACAGAGGCTCAAAGACCAGGCAGGTGCATCATCTCATCTAAGCTAATGACATTTAATTATAGAAAATCAATGGCCTATCTCTATACCATTCCCATTGCATCCTTTTTGTGATAATTAAGTTTTCTGTTGTCATGTGTTCTGCTTTTAAGGTCAGCTTTAGTTCATCTTTTAGTTTTCATTGTTGATGTGTGAACTTAAAAGTTTGTCAATAAAACAGGTTGTTAAATGTTGATATTTGCATATTGTTTTTTCTTATTAATTCAATAATAATGTAATTGTTACACACATATAGTACTTAACCCTTTAGGCGCCAGAGTTTTTTCAAGAAAATATACAATTTTGATTTCAAGATTTCAAAAGGCTATAACTTTAAAATGGTTTGAGATAAAGGCATACTGTAAATTAGAAATATCTTCAGTTTGAACCAAACTTTGGGATGGAAGTTGATTCGTCATCTAATTTGCATATTGTGACGTCATCAAGGTGGCGGCCATTTTGGAAAATGTTAATTATTGTATAAAGACTTCAAAAAGCTGTAGCTTGGGAGTTATTTGAGATCAGGGAATACTATAAACAGTCAATGTGAAATATCTTTAGTATGAAATGAATTTGGGATAGAAATAAATTCCCTGATCCAGATTATAGATAATGTTTTAGCACTGGTTCGCGGCCATATGGAATTGTATTATTTTCAAAGACCGTCAGTGATCAAGACAGCACTCTTTATAGTTTACAGTCATGAAAGCTTGAGATTGGTTTCAATATTTCCCTTTCAGAGAAGTAGTGGGCTTACTATTTTTCTCAGTGGAAATGAGCCTCCAGGATTTACCGTTTAGAAACAGAGAGATGAAATGAATGGGCTCAGAACTTGGCAGATCGTCTCAACAACATACAACAGGCTCTTCAACACTTCTGATCCACTTTTGTGGATTATTTTCTCTCAAGAACTGCCTTCATCCTCATCATCGCTGCTGGTAAAGGCAGTGAACGCGATTAGCGATGTGTTTTTTTCCCGCGGCTCTCCCGCGACTTCTCCCGCGTCTCCCGTGTTCCCCGTGGATGTCTATCCCCGCTACTTTCTCCCACATGCCCGGTATTATGATGCCCCTGTCCCCTCCACCACGACCCCTGCTTGGCGTTCACAGAATGCTTCTACCGCGGCCACACGAAGGACAAGCAGCCGCTGTACTGGGGCTGATTGTGGACTATGGAGCGCTGTCTCCCCGTCACCAATAATGTCCGTGTCTGCTTCACTGGACACCTGCGTGTCTTCCTCCTCTGAATCTGAGTGAGCCAGTACCAGACCAAGTACTTCTCTGGTACTGAAGACCTCGTGAGTAAATAAAAACACTCTCTCCCTCTGCTCTGCTCTCGCTCCTCTCAGCTCTACCGCTGCTGCTTCGCCTCCGCGCCGCTGCGCCGCAGGTGTTTTACCAACTCAATTTACTCAAAAACTTTCAATATAACCACACCCACAAATGCTGCTCATATTACAGGCACACATGTCCACTAACCCCTGGTGAAAAGTATTAACAAGATTCTGCACCACATTTTTACATACAGCCTGTTTAAGTGAGCAATGTTGCTTGTCGCAATATTGCGACTTTGGCGCTTAAAGGGTTAATAAGTATTATTGCAATGATATGAAATATACTGATAAAATATAAATAACATTTATTCAAGTTATCCATTATTGTAAATGATCTGTACACATAATGGTTACTCTGATCTGTACACATAATGGTTACTCAGTATATCTATTTCACACATAAATAACCTAAAAAAAATCACATAAACCTTACTTGATTATTTTATGTGATCAAGTAAAAAAAATCACATTTGTTAAGTAAGGTTTACTTACAAATAACATTCAGATTATACTTGATGAAATAAAAAGAGTTTTACTTGATTTATAGTAGTAATCTTTAATTATATCTTCGTGCAAATACTTACGAGGATTTTTTTAAGTAAATGTTAATCACGATTTTTTTCAGTGTATAACGTAAACTTTTGCATCACGTTGGTGATCTTTCCAAAAAGAGAGAATATCGTTATGGAAAGAGAAACTATTGGTAATATAACGCTGAACGTTATTTGACTCAAACAGCTCCGCTGGTGTCTCCTCCCACTCAGAAAAAAAGCAGACGCCTTTTCTCTGGCATCTCTAACATTTATAATAAATACATAAATATAATTAAAAGTAGCTTGCTATATAGAAGCTATTTTCAATTAAACAAACTGCAGTTCATGCAATTTTATATTTTCCTGCATTAACATGTTTGCTCATTTCTTATTTTTTGCACAATTCTTGAGTGTTTTATCCATGCCAAATGTGACATGTACATTTCTCCTGTGTGAGATTAATAAAGCTTATCTTATTATTTGAGATAAACTGTCAGTCAGATAAAGGTTAACATTTTGTAGATATTTATTGAACAATAGCCCAAAACACCAAAAACAACAAAGAGTAGGCATCTGAAAACATATTTCTTTTCGCTCATCTCGACTAGAGTGACGTACTTTTGGAGGTATGGCCACGGTACAACACTTTGAGAGTCCTTATCATGGTCCTCCTCCACCGCGGCGGCTCCTGGGCTCTCTGCCGTTGCTTTTGCTTCCCCCAGTAGCGCGCGCGCATGTGTGTGCGTGTGTGTGTGCGCGTACGTTTGTGTGTGTGTGTTGTTACCAAGCCCTGCGCATGCGCATCAGCATTCTGTCTTTCTTATATGTTTGTTTTATGCTGCGGGAAAATGCTGTAATATATGAACATCAGAGATGTCCGTGAGAAAATAGCTTTGGCGGACGCTACCGCGCTACTTGAGCAATAATATAGCTTAGCTACAGAAAAGTTACTAGGTTTTGTAAATAGTGACGCTACTGTCAAGCTACTGAAAAATGTAGTTAAGCTAGTAGCGACGCTACTTGTAGCGACGCTACTGCCCATCACTGGTGTTTCGCTGCATTCCTATGCAAAGTAGGGACATTAGCATGAAAAAGAGCGTGATTTCCTGCCGGTTAGGGTGACGAAAATCTAACTTTTCATGCAGTGCCATATACTGTAGTCGCTGCAGGAGCAATTGTCCATTATTTTAATTGGATTTCTGGTCCATGCACACTGTAAAAAAGAAAAAGTTAGTTCAACTCAAAATTTCAAAGCAACCAGCTGCGAAGGATTTTTGAGTTGAAGGCATTAACTTAATTCTTCAAGTTTTAAAGAACTACACTTATTAAGTTGTGTCAGTTAAGTTTTCCAAGTTCTGCCAACTAAGTGTTTAAATTCAAGTTACTGGAAATTTCAAGTCTGTAAAAACTTTTTAAAGTTCAGATTACTGTCCCCTACAATAATTTGGCTTGGCCCTGTCGATTACGGTTGGTAAAAATAAATATTGTCATTTGCTTCTGTCCTGTTAGTCAAAATAAAAGATATCACGACTGAATAGTTTCTCCCTGTAAAACTAAAGCTCATTTCATGGCTTTGGTCATCACATACAAAACTGTTGAACTCGTTCAAAACCAAAATCTGTCAATCTGATTTCATACAATACTTTATCTTTTTACATCCTGAACATTTTTCCTAACACGACAAGGTGTGTTTTTTTATTGTTTACATTTGTCACAGTTCTACCATAATGATTGTGAGATTTCATAACACTTTTAAGCAACTTTTGTTAAAGTTAAACTCATCATTCTATCAATGTGCAGAAGCCTGTACTTTTCCCTTGTTTTGTCTACCTGAAGGCCAAGCTACATGGCACTGTGGAAGCTGCTGATTGGAGGTCTCCATGCCTCCGCTCTGTATAATACACTTGTATTCTGTTGTATCTGTTGTTCGTGCTGTCTCTACCATCGACAATAAAACATGTCTTCTGTCAGAATTAAAGACGCGATCCCAGACTTTGTCATCTTCTTCAGGTGGTGGAGAATGCGGGCATTGTCTGTAACATCTAGAGAACAGAAGACTTTTTTTTTTACACAAAAATGTGGTTTTTTTTTTCAAGCCAAAACTGAGAAACCTCAAGAGAATGCATCTGGATCAGCCCATGGACAATCTGCACAGCCCCTGATTCCACTCAGGCTGTGAGCTGCTGAGCTGTAACATCCACATGGACAACACCAGCGTCCTCTTTTGCATGGACATCATTTGGAACAATTGGATTACAAAATTTGTTTTTTTAGATGGTAAAAAGCTGCTGATGTTACTGATTTGATGTGGCTATTAAAAATTTAAGTCTGAGTCCAGTATTACCCCTAGATTTCTGACCTTGTTTGAGGTTTTTAGGTAGAGAGACTGTAGTGACAGATGACGCTCTCTCTTTGTTTCTGGGGTCTAAGACAATTCATTACAGTTTTGTCTGCGTTTAGCTGAAGGAAGTTGTTTTGCATCCACTCACTGATCTGTTGGATACAGTGGAGGAGTGAGTCCACTGGTCCATGTTCTCCTGCAGTCTGTGGAGATCATAGATTCTGAGTGTCGTCTTGCATAGTTATGATAGGGAAACTTTTGTTTCTGCGTTTTAATTGACTATCGGCAGCATGTAGTGATTTGAACTATGTCGGGCCCAGGTTCGACCCTGTGGTACTCCACAGGTCAGGGCAATATGATCTGAGACACAGTTTCCATATCTGTACTTCCTGTCTTCAATCGGTGACCTAACCAACTACTAGGGCGGTGCCCAGCGGACGCTCAACCCCAGTCCTCTAGTCTCTGTTAAGAGGATCTCATGGTCGACAGTGTTCAAAGGCTAGCACTTAGATCTAACAGGTTAGGATTGGACTTTGCTGCGTCAGTGTTCAGCCAGGATATCATTTGTAACCTTGACTGAGAGCTGTCTCGAGGCTGTGGTGGGGGTCTAAGCCGGGACTGAAAATATCAATGAGGTTGTTGATTATAAGAAATCTAGTAAGGCTGTAGGTAGACAACTTTCTCAAGGTTTTCCCATAAATGGCAGATTTGAGATGGGCGATAGTTGTTAAGTACCGTTGCATCCAGACCTGCCCTCTTTTTTAGCAGGGCCTGATGACTGCAGTTTTCAGGGCCTTGGGAATATTCCAGAATCAAGGGAATGTTTACTATCTGTGTGAGTGAACGGTAACAGAGCGCTCAGAACAGACTTTAGAAATCTGTGGGTAGTACATCAAGGTGCATGTGGAGGAGCTCAACTGGAGATTATCTCTTGGACAGTTGATCATTTTACAGGTGCAAAGTAAGTTAGCTCAAAGAGCCTTCGGCTGTTGGATTGTTATCTGTGGTTGCGATACAATGGCGTTTTTGATGACCTTGAACCTTGTCATTGGAATAATATGGCAACTCATTACATTTTCGTTTGGAAGTTAGCCTCTATTGGCATCTGAACTGGGGGGTTGTTAATCTTTTAACTGTTGAATACTGATACCACGCAGATTGTTGCTGCAGCCTTCAAGCCTTTCAGATAGAAATACCTTTCTACTCGTATACGTAGCACCCTGGTTAAACTCGCACAACTTATCTTTGAGAGCTTGTAATCAACCTGGAGGTAGGACTTGCGCCACTTCCGCTCGGCCTCCGAGAACTCTCTTTCTTTTCGCTGCCCTGACCGTAGGTCTGCTTTAGCCCACGGCGCTTTCTGCTTAATTTTTCACTTTTTTAACCTCACAGGAGCGATGGTGTCAGAACTTTCAAAACACTAGAGGTTGACTGGACAGAGTTAAACAGTTTCATTCTACAGTAGATACGATGCATTCTCCAAGTTTATCATTCCATAAATTAGTTCACCCGTAATTATTTTCATTTATGTGTCTTCTTCGTACAGTTGCAGAGTCACTGGTGTCTTGTTAGTGAAAAACACATGTCAAAAAAGTATACAAAAAATGATCCGAATGCGCAACATCGACCACCGTTTACATTATAAATGTTCGCCCCCTTGGTAACTATCGGTATAGAGTGTGGCCATTGCTGTGTGGGGGTGGGGCCACTCACATGCTGTGTGAGACAAAAGATTCAAGAGAGAAACTCAGCTCTTCTAGGCATTTCTGTCATCAACATTATCCACATGAATATTAAAATTCTCTGTAATAACCTAAACTATCAAAATCTGTGCATACAATGAAAGAAACTCTGTATAAATTATCATAAAAACTGTGAACTTGACTGCGGGGCATGTATATTTTTTTTTTTCATTTGGACACCGAAAAGGATTGGAGGAGGATTGTCTTTTGTTGTATTTTAAACGACACTTATTCAAACGACGGGAAACTTCAAGGAGGACATTTCTATGGGAGCACAATGTTGGTATCTGAAAATGGCAGCTAAGCCTCCTCCATTTTTTGTTTTCCCGTATTTCTGATTCAAATTTGAATTTTGGTGTGGATGCTTCTATTAAAATGCATTTTCTGTATTTTGGTCAAGCCTTGTTTCAGCCAATTGAACATATAGATCGTAGAATATAAGAACAAATATAATTATGATTAAATAAAGACTTGTTACAAAGAGATCTGACTTTTAGCCATAGCAAGTTTAAAAGTTTCCTGGATCAGCAGTTAGTGGTCGGGCTGATTCGTACACGGAACAACGAATTAGATTTTCCTGTGATTTGATAGATTAACTTCAGATGTTTTTCTGTTATGTAATTCTTGTAGTTATCACTAAGGGATGGCACAGTGTGGCTCATGACAGGGCCCCAGCCGGGTCTCTCCTCTAACTAGACTGCCAGTGGCTGCGAAGCAGAGACCCTGTGCATCCTAGTGTTTAGAGAAAGAGGGGTAGGGGAAGGCGGGGGGCGGAGGATGGAGAGCGGTGGTTCTGGATGTTGGTACGGGGACGGGTTGAAGGTGATGGGTTTTTGGTGATGGGTTAGGGGAGGGGCAGGCTGAGTTGGGTGGGTGGACGGGGGGGTGAGTGGAGGTGAGAGGGTTTCTTGGTTGACTGAGTTAGGGTTGTTGCCGAATGCAGGAGTCTGACGGAGCTGGTCTGGATTAACTGAAAGGGAGTGGTGATGATCCAGGACATTCTACAACAGGGGTGGCCCAACCCGCGGCCTCGTGAGCCGCCAGCGGCTCCTTTGCTTGCGTTCCGTGCGGCTCCTCGGGCTTTACACGACAAGCGTCAAAAACGCCTCGGTGGTGGCGTTGCAATTCCTTCTCTATGTAGTTCTGCCCATATAAATGCCGACTTCACTCCACTAGCGGCGCCGCCAAAAACAAAATGTTGATGTCGGCCGATACGTTCAATTCTGATTGGTCGTCACTCTATGCAGCTGCTGCCTCCAGCAGTTGCAAATATTCATAACAAAAAAACGTTGCCTCGACCATGACGTCTCGTACGAAACAGTTCCTTGGGTCGCTGGATGAGGGCAACAGTTTGAGGAGAGGACACAGCCTGAGCTTGATGGTTCCACCAGAAACCAGAAGGTGTTTGTGGAGAGAGCACTATGGAACAGAGCAGAATGATTCCCACGAACATCACAATGGCAGAGAAAAGTTAAAAAGGCTTAAAAGTGACAACCGTGAAATGAAAGATCGCTGCAGCAGAAGTAGAAGGCAGACCCGAAAGTTGGAGGTGGGTTGACAAATGGGATTACATTTACGGACATCGGCCAACTCCAGCTAACATGCTAAACCCAGCTAGCACCAGCTACACAGAGATTAAGACTTCAAGCTCGCCTGGTGAGTGTCGTCTGCAATCAAATGCAAAAGTATCTGGTCTTATACTGAGGCATGTGTCTGTGGTTCTAAATCAGCTAAAGTGGTGTGGTGTTATGTGTACAAATTTATATCTTTTACTAAACGCAGTCAGAGTGAATCATGGTGTCGTAAAGACAGTTGTGTTTCTGTTCTGAACCACTGGGTTTTCTTGGTTAGAGATTGACAAAGCATTATTCGAATCATAATTGATGTTCGCTGATTTGTGTTATTGTTCTTGGTAATCGACCGCCCGGTTAGAACCAGGGTCCATACCATTATAAAACTGCGGGAAGCGGGAGCCCTCCGCTGCGCGTCGGGCTCTGCTTCGCCCTGTCGGTACTTATTTTCCGATAATGACCTGCGTAATATACATTATCCCTTACATATTCTAAGGTTTAAATTAGTGGTGGGCCGTTATCGCGTTAACGTGCTGCGTTAACGCGATAGTCTTGTCGGGCGATAAAAAAAATATCGGCATTAATCTATTCTCAAAGTTGAGTTGGGAGTGGGATCTATACTACGCAAGCTATGATGACTTTAGCGCGGATGTATACCTAGCCAAATTGCATTGTAGGGGTCGCGAACGAATCTTCGAACCTGTGTACATGCATGCTTACTGTGAAATTACCACAATAAACGTGACGTGCTAGCATGGATACAGCTACGAAGCCGCCACCGGGTTTGCTTCAGGGAAAATTTATTTTTAAGAAGCTTCCCAATGGAAACTACGACAAGACTAAGGTTGTTTGCACCTTGTGCAAAGTGGAATTTGTTTACTGTAGGAGTTCTTCCAGTCTCAAGTACCACCTAAAAGCAAAGCATCCCGTAGCTAGTGCGGAGGAAGATGCCTGGCCAAGCACTGATGTAGCGCCGGGGAAGTGTCGTCGTCAAACTACTATGCTTGAGTGCAACCGAGGCAAAACCGTCAGCACAGCTCTATCAGCAAAGCTAACTAATCTCCTCACTCAGTGGATTGCCACCAGCTGCCGGCCCATCAGTGTGGTTGAAGATGATGGGCTCGAGCTTGTTCTCCAGACGGCAACAGGTGACTCTTCTTACAAACTACCCGCGAGGCGAACTATCATGAGGAGAATACATGACCAGCACGCCACAGAGAAAGCCGCAAAAGATAAGAAGATGTTAGAGGCGAGTTGTGTGGCGCTGACTGGGGACCACTGGACCTCTGTCAACAACGATAACTACCTCGGCGTTACTGTACACTTCATCGATGCCAGCTGGGAGCTTCACTCCTTCGCTTTAGGTAGGCTACGTTATGGGATAATGTATAGCATACAGGTCATTATCGGAAAATAAGTACCGACAGGGCGAAGCGGACCCCTTCCGCCCTGAAGGTACTTATTTTCCGATAATGACCTGTATGCTATACATTATCCCGCTTATTATACTGCTTTGTACCAACTTAACACACAAAATAAACTTCAGATCACTTTTATGAATGCCAAAAGTTTATTTAATGACAACAAATAAAGTAGTCCCAAAAAGTTTTCCCGTTGCTCGGCAACCGCGGGCAGGCAGTGTGGCTTTGACAATTGTGGCTATGCTAGCAACAGTTAGGCTGGCAACTTCCAAACTAGAACTCTCTGGAACTGCATGAAAACTGAACAAAGAATTCTGAACATCAGCGGTGAGTGACCCATACATAAACCTAACCTAAATCCACAATTCGATCCTCTGCAAATGTGTCCGAAAATGTGCCGGTATCTTAAAATGTGCCGGTATCTACTTCCGGGTTTTTCGGGATCGCCTTTTCTCGCATTACATCAGTGTTTTTGTCATGAAAACGTAAACGGAAAATTCTGAAAACTTCCGTGCACTTGTATTAAGACTGGATATGTATAATTCACTCTCCGATAAACATTTCATTGCGTTGATTGATTGGCATTTGCGTTTATTGAGCGGCCAGAACTACTTCCGGGTTTTTCACGATCGCTTTTTGACGCAGAGAAATAGTATTTTTGTCATGAAGACAAGACCAGAAAATTCTGAAAATGTCCGTGCACGTGTGTGAAGAATGTATATGTATAAGTATTCTCCGATTAACATTTAAGTGTGTTGATTGAGTGTGGCTAGCTCCGGAGTGGTCGGAACTACTTGCGGAGTTATCCACGCATTTGGAATACAAGCAGAGAGTGCGTTGCCAAAGGGCAGCGGTCATTATTGTTTTGAGAGGTCCGTTATAGAAAATAATGACCGGTAGAACGTTTTGAAATTACATTCAAATCAATGGAGCATTCTACTGCTGCTGTGAGGAGCCGTATAATAAGTAACTTTAAATTAGGCCTACATCATTTAATTATTTGAATGATTGATTAAATTAATTACCACAACACCACGAATTACCACCACATATGTTTGCTTGTAGTTGTTTACTACTAGTAGTGAACCTATTCTGATCTTCTTTGTCTGTCCGTTAGGTGTGATGAAAACAGAGGAGCGTCATTTTGCAGAAGCGTGTGCAAGGCAGTTTCTCTACGTCGCTAATCAGTGGAAGATAGCTGACAAAATCAGCACTATTGGAACAGACAGTGCTCCTAATATGGTGGCAGCAGGGAGGATACTGCCAATCGAACATTTGCCCTGTGTTGCGCATGTTGTACAGAGAGCTATTGTAATGTCTCTTCGGGAAGGTGGTTTTGATGGCGCACTGGCCAAGTGCCGTAAAATGGTCGGACATTTCAAACACAGTCCGGCCAACTCAGACGAGCTGAATGTCCAGCAAGCCTCCCTTGGACAAGTTCAGGAGCCACTTGTGCAAGATGTTTCAACACGGTGGAATTCCACCCTAGAGATGCTCAAGCGTGTGAGGCGCAACAGAGACGCACTGCACACAGTGCTGTCTCAGCAGAAGCAGAATCTGGCCCTCCCAACAAATGCTGAATATGAGAAGTTGGCAAAGCTAGAGGAACTGCTGGAGCCATGCAGGTATGGTCTACAAAGATGGCATGTTCATGAATTGGTATACAAGTTATTTTAAATGTCACTGTATATTTAATAAATGCATGCCCTTAAATTTAATGTGAGAAAAAATGTGTAACGAGTTAAATGAATCAGTCATTACTTATTTTTTGGTTTGTTTCTGTCTGTCTGTGTAGGTATATCACTGAGCTCCTTGGTGGGAATAAGTATGTATCCTGCTCTGTGGTTCTACCTGCCCTGTGCCACCTCCAGCATGTGATGAAGATCTCAGATGATGATCCTGCCTATATTGCGCGATTCAAGGCTGCCTTCACCAAGGACCTCAACCAGCGGAGGGAGAAAATAAACCTGGAATGGCTTAAGGTATGTCAGAATGACCAGAAGATAACTATTATGTGACCATTATAGACTGTTAAGCCAGTAGATTAGTCAATGAACAGATGAATGAGTCATGAAGAAATATGGAGGTTGAATTTGGAAAGTAAAATTTTCATCAATCAATAATATATATGTTTTCTATTCATCTAAGGTGGCGACTACGCTAGATCCACGATTTAAGGACCTTAAGTGCTTGCCCAGAGCAGAGAGGGAGCCAGTGTGGGCAAAGCTAAGTGAGTTGGTCAAGGGAGAAGAACCTACTCTGCAGCCACTCAGGGAGGAGAACTCTGAGCCACCCAAGAAGAAAACAGCCCTGCTATTGATGGATTCAGACTTAGACTCAGACTCAGAGACACCAGAAGACAATGCTGTGGAGAGGTACAAGGTAGAGCCCAGTGCCAGTCTAGATCAGTGTCCACTGAAGTGGTGGTCGGAGCACATTGCTGTCTATGGTAAGATGTCCCTCATTGCCCGTAAATACTTGGGGACTCCAGCCACAACGGTCCCATGCGAGAGGCTATTTTCTTTAGCAGGCCATATTGTGCAGAAGAGGAGAGTTTATCACCAGAAAATGTAAACAAGCTGGTCTGCCTGAGTGACTGGTGGAAGAAGGAGAAATAGAGCTTGGACTGATTGACACAAAGTTACTGACTGTAAACAGGTAATCACCGTTCATTTTTCATGTTTAACAGAATAAACAGTAAACACAAGTGCATCTTATTGAACATTATTTATTTTCATCACCAATTATCATAGTTTTAACAGCTTTCTTAAGCAGCTTGTGATGCATTTTGTAACCACTGGTCTCAATATTAGTTATTATTTTTGGGTAGCATATGTTCCGGCAGAAATAAAATAAACCATTTTAATCTATAGATTAATCTAGATTAATTTCAAAATTAATCTAGATTAATCTAGATTTAAAAAAAATCTATGCCCACCCCTAGTTTAAATGAATACATTCGGACGCAAAACTAGCGGTATTCTTTTACTTATATATTGTGTTAGCAGTGTGTTGCATTTGTACCATTTCATCAGTGATTGTTGTACAGCTTACAAGAAGTTGCATTAATGCTAATGTTAGCATACATATCAGATCGCAAATTAAACTAGATGGCTCCGCGGGATGAGAGCGTAGGGGAAATGAGAGACCTGTGAGCGAGTTGGGGGACGGTGCTAAACATTCAAACCTTGCAGAAACGGGTATAGCTCCTTTAAGACATAGCTAAATGTATGATCTATTCCTTATTCTGTTTAAATTGTTGATTTTTGATTATTCTATAATCCAGGTTGTGCATATGTAGTTTGTTTTGTGTGCCTTTGTGTTCTTGTTCTTCTATTTTTATTGTAATATGAAAAGTTTGGAAATGGGGGTGTTCATGAGCAATTTTCTTCATCCCACTTCTTTTGTGCAGTATTAATACTGATCATATAAATAGATAAATAAATACATGTCTCAGACTATTATTGCTGTTTTATGTGATTTGGTTTCACTTTGAGCCCCCAAGGTTTGTCTTGTGAGTGAGTGTGTGTGTGTGTGTGTGTGTGTGTTTGTGTTTTGCCTCATCGTTTTGTTTGTTTTTGTGTTGTAATATTGTGAACATCTAAAAATGAAATGTCATTCATTCGTCTCATTGCTCTGCGTCTTGTCTGATATCACATGTCCCTCTAGTGGCTAACTCTACGCGTTACATGCAATCACATTGAAATAATTAAAGGTAAAAAACATATTTCCAAAACATAACTAAATAACAACACATACCAGTCAGACAACAAATGGAACACAACCGGACAAAAGTAAATACAAAACAAAAGGAATAAAAATACAACAAACGAATGCAATCAGAGATTATGATTAAAACCCACGCTTAATTCTGGTCTTATATTTAACTTTCTTGCTTTATCTTTTATGAATCCTTTTCAAACGTGGAGTGAGTGCAATAGTGTACACATAGCTCTCACTAGCCAGCAGCTTCTCACGAGTGTAGTCACCAGACAGCGACCTTCACAGAGAGACGAACTGCCACTTTCTGTACACGCAGCTGTAAACACGTAACATATTTCACATTTCTACCAAGCAGCGCAAACAAAAGCAAGTTTAATGTCTTCTCAAATGTTGTCTGCTTATCTGTCACTCCTGCCCTATATTTAACTCTGTTGTCATGTGAGGGGAGTGGAAGACACGCCTCTGCGAGCGGAGCGCCTCCAATGCGTAAAGTCCAACAGCCCCGGGACAAACTTTTGCGGACTTTTTTTTGTAAGAATATTGTCATTAAAGTGGAGTAAATGCAGACATGACGCGGGAGGAAGACTTGATCCGTATTGGGAAAAATCTGGACAAGATGGTGTCTAGAAATACTATGGTGAGTTTGAAAAGAGAGGCAAGATAATGAAACGCGCGCTCGTGTTGTGTTGTGCGGGCTTTATGCAGAGATACAGGTATAAATTACGCTTTTTATTGTGTTTTTGTTGTGCAAAACGGGGTGCATGGAGGGACACGTGGTTGTGTAGTGAAATGGAGCTGTAACAAACGGACAACAGGTGCTCGCGGACAGGGCTCAGCTGTCAGTGCTGTCCTCTGTCCGCACTAGAGATTCAGCATTAGAAGCTCACTTTCATTTGGTTTGTTTGGTTTTGATCCATTTGGAATAACTGCGCAGGCGCACTTTTATGAGGCTACTGTGCGAGCGAGCTGGGGTTTTTTTTGAGAATGTGCAAAGTGGACGTTTTCATGGCGCTAGAATGTTGTGCACGCACTGCGACACAGCTCGCTCATTGTTAGACTTAAGAAGATACCACATGAATCTAACATTCATAGTAAAACTCTTCATACTTTTACCATGTTTTACTATAAAGAGTTTATTGTTCAACTATCATAAAAACGATTACTGAATTACTATATCAATAGGTTGATTGATATAGTAATTAAGTAATAACCAACCAATCACTGCTGCACTGACGAGTGATAAACAGTAGGCATATAAATACATGAAATACAAACAGCAAAAACCAAAGAGAAGAGGTGCATCTTAAGCAGGGATTTAAAGTGATAGTGATTATGCAGTTCTAATATTTCAATACAATTCCTTTTTTTATATCTTGAAATCCGTCAAAAAGGCTTTCATTAAGGATTTTACATTATTGAATTAAATTGGGCGACAGTTGGTAGAGCTTTGGCCTTTGAGCCTGAAGGTTGTGGGTTCAAGCCCACCACGAGACCTATACTTCACGACTACCAATGATGTCTGCTGTCGGCAAGACATTAAACCCCACTTTGCCTGAAGCCCCCGCTGGGGTCCTGTGGACTCACCACCTGCAGGAGGATCAGTGAGGGGCTGATGCTTAGTGTACTGGGTGCAGCTCTGACTGCCACCCCCCCCGACCCAGAAATGGATTGAGGGGAAGAAGATTGGATGGATGGAATTAAACTGCAAGCTCAAAAATCAAACAAGTGGAGCACAAAGAAATAATGATAATAAAACACATAAAAGTCCGCTTACAGAAGGAAGGTGGAGTGTCCTGGTGCAGTGGTAACTGTGGACTTCAGGAAGAGCACAGTCTTCCTGCCCCCGCCCTCCCTGATGGACTCCCCATCACCTCTGTGGAGTCCTTTCGTTTCCTGGGCACCACCATCACCCAGGACCTTAAGTGGGAGCCGACCATCAGCTCCCTCATCAAGAAGGTCCAGCAGAGGATGTACTTCCTGCGGCAGCTCAGGAAAGCCAAGCTGCCTGCACAGATGTTGGTGCAGTTCTACACGGCCATCATCGAGTCCATCCTCACCTCCTCCATCACTGTGTGGTTCGCTGGAGCCACCGTCAGGGACAAGCGCATTGTGGCTCTGCTGTGAGTGTGATTGGCCTCCCATCGCTGCAGAACCTGTATGACGCCTGGGCTCGAGGGCGGGCTGATCGTATCACTGCTTTTATATTTAGAAATGTTTTATTATGCCTTATTCTATTCTCTACTTTTGACTTGTTGCACCGAGAGCCAATGTAGTTTCCTAGTCTATGACTTCCTGTTACTTACATGGCAATAAAAATGATTCTGATGCTGATTCTGAAAAGTCATTGGCTGATTGAATAGCAGGTTAAACCAATGTGCATATATGGACCTGGATCCTCCTGCATCTGCAGGAAAAACTCAAAACTCTGTGGAAAAAAAACTCTGTAGATCCATGAATGAGTTCAAGTTTGTATTCAATTGTATTGGCCATTGTCAATAATCAACGGACTACAGCTGAAGCCATAATTAGTATCAACAAAAAAACACAGGTCCTGTCAAGGAGTGAAAGGGCTAGAATAGAGTATTTCATTAAGTAAATAAATAAAAGCAAATGTTAGTTAGGGTTTGAGTTATATTTGGTCTCACCACAAACCCTTATGTTACAATAGTATTATACACCATTTAGTGGTATGATATGACTTCCTGAACTTTTATAAAGCTTTATTATCATTTTAGACATTTAGGAACCAGCACTGGAACCAGAGGGCGGTCAAGTTCTCAAAATATTTTTCCCTGTAGTTAGAACACAAGAACTAATGACACTGATCTAAAGTTCCCTTTGTGTTCAGGATGGAGCATTGGACCTTCTGAAAGAGCTGAAAAACTTCAACATGACGCTTAAACTTCTACAGGTAAAAACGGCTGCACACATATGAGAGTCCTGTTATCTTATGTTTCAAGGCTCATTGGGTTCTTCAAGCAAGACAAAAAAGTGTAAAGAAGCGGGTACTGCTTGATTACCTGACATGATAGACTAGACATGGTAGACTAGACATGGTAGACTTGCACCTTACACGTGGTGGTGTGGCATGCCTCTTATCAGCTGTATCGGATGAGACCAGTTTAACAAGTAATGAACATTTTGCTAAAAAGGAATAAGCCACATACACTCAATCACAATGCAAAAAATGTAGCATCAGAAGAACCCATTTTAAGACAAAAGTCTATTTAAATTAGGAAGCGAGTCACACAGACAATCAACAGGGATATGAGGGTCTTTACTTCTCCAGAGACTACAGCACAATAGGGAATATAGTCAGTTTGATTAATCTGAAGGCACATGTTCAGTCTGATAGATCTGAGAGACACATCCGGAAACAACAGCTGATAATAACCCAAAACATGTCAGGTAAACTAGCATTACTAGCTTGACTGGACAGAATAAATTATAATTCTTGACAAGATTTGGCACCTTGCCATTGGTCCAACTATTTTCCTCCAGCAAATCATGGTGGTTATGCCACGGAAAGGAACTCTATTCATCAAATATAATGTTAATGAACTCTGGTTAATTAACATGATACTAAATTTGTTACTACAAAATTAACCTGCTAACATCACCTTTAAGCCTACATCCTGCTATCCAACATAAATATGTGTAACTGCAGGAGACGCGCATCGGTATGTCTGTGAACAGCATCCGCAAACACTGCACTGACGAGGAGGCCATCGCTCTGGCCAAAACACTCATCAAAGACTGGAAACGACTTCTGGGTACATTTACCAGTGCTAATCCTAACCCTAGTTTAATTATGTTAAAGCTGGGGTTTCTAACGTTTGTTTAATTAATAATACATTTTGTTCAGAAAGTCTTGTTACAGTAAATCAGACTACAACATGCTGTCTCCATTTAATTAGAAAACAAGTTCTCCTGTTTAAGGTCAGAGGATGTTCTTCCAGGTGGATCATCTAGACCAGGAGTGTCAAACTGAAATACTGAGTGGGCCAAAATGTTAAACCGAACAAGCCACGGGCCAAGGTTCGGGCCAAACAAAAAACCTTTTAATAGGGGCTTATATAACTTTATAGTGACATGCAAAATTAAGTTTCAAATAATAATAATAATAATATTGATTAAAAAAATATCAATCGCATATCACATTAAATTTAAAAGTAATGCCTCTTTTTCATTTGCAGCCTTAGAGCAATTGGGGGTCCTCTCTTTTTCACTTTTCTGTCTGAAAACCCTGATATAAAGATGTGACAGTGGCCAAAGGTTACAAATGATAGAAGCAAACTGTTTTAGAGCCAGGAATGGATTTATTACATAGTTCCATTATTGTGGTTTGAAAGTTATGTACCCCAGCTTTAAGTCTTGAAAAATCCGATGACAATTGATAGTTCATAAATATTTTTATAAATCATAAATCTGGTGTTTAGCTAAATGTTCCTCATTAGTGAAAAAGAAAATATTGAAACCCAACAGTTGGTCATTCTACAGTCTACAGTTAGAGCTAACCCGTATATTTTAGAAGCACTTTGAAACCACAAAACATTAACTCCATGTCACTATATTCTAACTCTAAAACAGTTTGGTTTTATCTTTAGTTTCACAAGCATCTATGTTCTTGCCTCTGTACCATCTTTAGATAAGCTTTTTCCTTGAAAAAGAGAGCTGATGAAGACAGGATGTTCTGGTCTGATTTGTTCACAAAATGTTACTTAAACAGGACTCTGTTGGGACAGGTAAGAGTTAGGTACTCCAGCTTTGATTATTTATTAAGTTGTAAGTTAAATAAAATAGGCCAGAGTGATGAGGAATAATGATCAGTTGGTTGATTTGAACCACAGAGGCTGAAAACAATGGCAGATCACAGGAGGGGATTAACGGGCTGGTCCAAGAGAGAGAGGAGAGTCCAAGCCGCAGCCACAGCCGGTCAGTATACTCTTCATAACATTAATATAAAACACAATAGATCTGGAAGCAATACCATGACTGCCTGTGTTTGGGGAACAAAAGGACAAAACAGTTTTTGCTATAGTTGTTTTTTTGTTTTTTCATTCAACACACAACAATGTGTTTTACGGCGATTCATGCATATTTGAGCTATTTATATCCTCATAATATATGAGGACTGAGGAGAGAGCAATTGCTCTCCCCTCAGTCCTCTGAGTGGCATCACCTCGCTCCTTCAACGTCAGGCAACGTCCTCCTTTGACGTCAGCCAATAATGAATTTATCAATACTTGTGATGCAATGTTTCACTGTTCTAAAACATAGCCACCGCTGACCTATGTTTGCGTAAAGATAAAATTATGAGTTTTGAACCTGTGATAAAATGAAGAGTAAAGTAAAAAAGTGACTATGATGACTTTAGAGCAGAAGAAGAAGCTTCATATAAATAATATCTACATCATTTACAACAAAAGTCATTGCTTTGTTTGAGATAGTAGAATTTTGCAAGAAGGGTCAGGGGAGTATGTTTGTGCTTGCCTTTTTGTGCCAGAAGTTACTGAGTTAAAGTCAACTCCAGCTCTGTTTTTGATGAGAAACAACAATCCCAGAAAACAACAGAAAACACAAAAAAGAAAATGTTGTATGTATTTGTAAAAAACATCAAAAATACATAAAGTTTAATGTGTTAATCTCAGGAAACTGGATTTCAATGATGATTCGGACAAAGAACATAAACCCAGGAAGGAAAAACATGAGCTGAAGCCAAAAGCGGCACCACAGCCTCCAATAAAACTTGAGAAACATGGAGACAGAGTGGAGAAGCATCAACCAAAGCTTTCAGAGCGGCAACACAAAGAGGAAACCCTTGAAGACCAGAGGAACGAGCAAAGAGCCACGAAGACTGACGAAAGGAAACACTATGACGTGTCTAGACGGCACAGCTCTGCAGACAACACAAGGAAAAGACCTGTGGAGCTCCCCAGACCACTTTTTGAAAGGTCAGAGAGGCCAATCATCCCAGCCAATGATTGTTAGCCAAGGTTTCACATTGTGATAGTATTTTTTTCCACCATAAATGTTTTTTTATAAGGTGTCCAGAACATATGAATTAAAATCCAGATAAGACACAAAACCGAAAAAAACTACAGACAATATTTTTATAAAGTTGTTTAGTAATATCAATATTCTATTTTAAAAATCTATTTATGTTTTGAACATTTTAACTTTAAAAATAATCTTCTGTAATTATGCAGCAGCATATGCCACTTTTCCACAGTATAAGTACGGTACAGTACAGTACGCTTCAGCGTGTTATTTTGCGTTTCCACTAGTGGATGGTATGGGAGATTTGCGTACTTTTCCGTACTGCCTCAGCCGTGGTTCCATCCCCATAGTACCCGTGCCATGACGTCACGTCGGCCCACTGCCTTACACTGATTGGTCAACGAGTGTCGTCACTGGAAGCGACATCTGCCCCTTTGGGAAAAACAACTCAACCGCCATCTTTAAAACCGGCTGCTCTGTTTCGGCTACATTACGTCCTCCTCACTCCAGAGAAATGGAATTGCACAGAAAGCCCCAAAAGTCCTGGTCCTGGTCGGTGGACGAGGTCCACACGTTCCTCTCTTCAGGCCAAAAGAAAGAATTCAAAGGCAGCTCGAGGCTCAACACAGTTTTCAGGGAGATTTTCAGCTCTGGATTTGTGAGTAGTCTGTGGTAATCCTGAAATAACTGGTTAGCTACGAATCCCGTTAAAGCTCTCACTGAAATGTATTTACTGTTTGAATGTTTGATTGTCTGTTGCACACAGTGAGCTAGCTACACTTAGCTTAATTTAGCTATCGATAGCAGCTAAGCTAACGTTCTCCCTGTGCTACTGTGCTTTATCTCGTATTATCTGCAGTATTCATGTGTTGTCATTCTGTTTTGTGCTTGTATTTAAGTTGTCGTGTGTATATTTGTATGAGAATCCCTTTCCATAAGTGTGGCGATTACCAACAAGCAATGAGTGACTGGAGTATTCTCCTCATCTGGACCTGGTCTGGACCTGGTCTCAGACATACGTACTTTTGACCTTGTAAACTGTTGGTTTTGCACTTTACTTTTGTTTTCAATAAATCTGTGATTGTATCAAGACTGTGTTTCATTCATTTATTATTATTATTGTAGCTGAGGTTTTGGTATTGATTGTTTGTCTGGTCTCGGAGTCTGCTGTAGTCCGGACCCGAGTCTGGACTAGCCTAGCCTAGCTTAGCCTAGCTTAGCCTAGCTTAGCCTAGCCTAGCCGCTAGCTCGCTACCCCTATGGTTGCCGCTGTCTCTCTCTCGGTCCTTTACTGCTCGAGTTTCCATATGACGAGTTTAAACCTCCTCTGAGGGTAGTGATAGATGTGTTAAGTGTAGTGTAGTAGTAGCTTTGGAATCCAGGGTTAGTGAGTGAGCTGAGTCTCGAGCTAGCGCTAGCATTAGCTTTAGCCTTGCAGTATCCTCGGACATGCAGCCCTCCTCTGCACCACTGCTACACAAGCTGCTGTTGCTAAAGGTCCCATTCAGATTGTACAAAGCAGTCAGCACCATTGACTTCACAGTTTCCGAGTCATTCTTTTAAGACATAAGCATTTTCAAAAACTACTCGTGCTGTGCTGAATTTTCTATTAAACACTTGCTCTGATATTTTAATAAATCCATGCACCGCGCCAGTACTAGTTATGCGTCACACGTAAATGACGTGGTCTGACAACGCTGAGGACATACTAGGGGGTACTATTTTTGATGGAAAAGCACGCAAACTGGGCCATGGCGTGCCGTGTAGAGTCAAAACGTACCGTGCAAGGACTGTGGAAAAGCGGCATTAGTTGTATTTTTTTTTAAATTGGAGCATAAGTAAGTGAGTAAGTACTTAATTTAGTTAGAGCAGCCGTCCTCCTGTGGACTCACCACCTGCAGAGGATCAGTGAGGGGCTGGTGCTATGTGACTTGGGTGGCATCTCTGACTGCCACCCCCCGGACCCTGACTGCCACTACCCCGGGGTAGAAAATGGAAGGATGGATAGATGTTCAAAGTTCAGATACTGTTAGATAAGGGGCCAAAAGACTTTAAAAAAAATGTTAATATTTGGTATCTTTTAGAAATAGGACACCCCCTGAAGATTCAGGAGGAGCAGTGTGGTTTTTGTCCTGGACGTGGAACACTGGACTAGCTCTATACTCTCCATCGGATACTCGAGGGATTATCCGATGGATTTGCAGTAATGCGGCCGTTGTATTGGACAGGCGGGTGCAACCGGCGGGCACCTTCAGAAAAAAACAGTGAAATGTCATTAACACGACCAACACTAGTACCATCAAACCCAGCGGTGCCCACTGGAAATTAGCAGCAACGTATACCTTAAGGTGGTGGAAACGGCCCCTACTGAGTCAGTTCCTGAAGGAAGGCACAGTATTGATGTCACCGAGCAGTAGACGCGGGTTGTGTCCTCTGCCAGATACCACGCGTTGAAGAAGGTTTCCATTTCAGAATCTGTAAATGGAACCCGGAAGCAACGCCCCAAATGTCCGTACGTCGAGGGCGAGGGGCGCAGACATCACAGAATCTAGCCATGCGAGAAACACAGCCTGCTTAACGGCACCACATTGCTCTTCGCCAGATCACGCGTATACCCAACCTTCATGTGCTCTAATCACATCTGCGTATCCATCAGAGACTGCTCGCAAGTGGGGGGCACAGAATCACCAATCGGGCCAAAGAGGGCAGGATCCTTATACCCCGTTGCCTGCAACTGGAAAGAATTCAGCGAACCCCCACGTCCAGAGGATTTCGACCTCTTCCGAGAGGGTCGTCACCCCAGGCACTCTCGCGCTTGCGACTAGGGGTGTCTTTGACCAAAAGACCGATCGCGGTCCCCTGAATCGCTACTAGAAAGCCATTCAGAGTCGACAGCGGCCACATGCACTGGCCAGGCATCACTCTTTGTGGGGGATAATATAATATATAAATATATACTTGGGGTGGGGGGGGGGGGGGGGTGTGGTTAATATATTTGGTGGTAGTGGGGGGGGGGGGGGGGGGGGTGGGGGGTGGGGGGGGGGGGGGGGGGGGGGGGTTATATTATAATTTTGGGGGGTTTATTTTTGGTTTTTTTTTTTGTTTTTTTTTTTGTTTTTTTTTTTGGTTTTTTGGTGTTTTTGGTGTTTGTTGTTGGGGGTTTTTTTGGGGGTGTGGGGGGGGGGGGGGGGGGGGGGGGGGGGGGGGGGGGGTGGTGGGGGGGGGGGGGGGGGGGGGGTGGGGGTGTTGTTTGTTGGAGTAATATTGGTTTAAATTTATTGTAGTGATATGATGAGTATTTTAGGGGGGTATGGTTTAGTTTGTGGTAGTATGTTGAAAGAGTAGTTAGGATTATTGAAAGAGTTATATTGGATAGATAGGGATGGGGTATTGGGTAGAGTAGTGGTTAAATATTTATAAGTTATAATAATTTTATAATTGTGTTATATGGATATGTTAAATAATGGTTAAATATGTTTATAAGTGTAATATTTTATAATTGTTTATGGGATGATATGTTTAGGGATAATGTTTAAATATGTTTAAATGGGTTGTATAGATGTTTTGTTAATGTAATTATGTCGGAGTGATGTTTAAATTATGTTAAATGTTTTAAAGTTTTATATAAGGTTATAATTGTGTGGATGGGGATGGGATATGGTTTTGTATAGTGTTAAAATTTTTAATTATTGATAAGATTGATTGGTTATTAGGATGATGGATGGAGATGTGTATATAATATTAAAATATTGTAAGAATATTAGTTATATAAGGGGTGTTGGGTTATTATTTATAAGTGTGGGTTTTGTTGTTGATTAAAGTTAGTTATAGGAATTTGAGTATATAGTTTAGGGTTGATTTGGGATTGGTATTAGGTTTATATAAGGTTATATTTGGATAGATTGTTAATTTGTAAGGGAAGAGAGTATGTATAATTGTGTTGGTGAAGGAGGGGAGATGAAATAGTGGGGAGTTTTAGAGATGATAAGGTATGTAATGATGATGGGGGATTATGGATGATTGAAGAGATTGTATGGGGATATTTATGAGTACGGGTGAGGTGAATATATTTATTAATATGATATTGGGTTTTGTAGGTGCAGGAATGTGGAAATAGGGTGAGATAGGAGAATTATTATTCATAGGGATGGATGGAGTATAAAGAGAGAGATCTCGTGACTCTGTTGCTCAGTCCATGTTCACTTGCTACGATTGCGGGTTGTTGGTGCATGGAGATAGCTTACGGTTAGCTGTTTGGTGCCACTGCTATTGCGCGGGCTTGCTGCCTGTAGCACCATGAATGCTTGTCAGGCCGGTGCTGCGTGTTGCTCGGCCCATCCGGGGTTGATGAGCAAGCCCGCGCTAACTATTCACCCTCTGGGGAAATCGCGGCATTTATATTGCGTATGCGCCGTGACAGTGTTTCGGTAGTTGTTCGTTGTCATTGCCACTTGGCGTCACGTTTAGTGTGCTTTAGCTTTGTGCTACGCTGTTCCGCTTCGGCGTTGATATCTTATTTTCCATCACGTGGTTTGTTGTTACTTTTTACCGCTGGTGTTAGTTGTGGCCTGATTGTGGGTTGCTCCAGTCGTGCCCCCTCCCTGCCCGACTCGCCCTGCAGCGTTGCCTTAATTGCTTTGGCGGTGCTGCGTTTGGTTTTAGCGGGTTTATACTAGTGCATTTCTGCGCGCCTGACCCTCTATAATTAGCTGTTCCCGTGGTTTGTCACGTTTTCTATATTTATGAATGGCTTTTTGTCTGAAAGGAGCAAAGGAACACACGTTTTGTTTTTTTTCTAGCACTGATGTTTATTTTATATAGCGATATTACTAGGGACTCCATCGTCACTATTTATTTATTTTTTATTTGATGACCGGGGTTAAAGCTCCTGTTGTAAGGACAGAACAAATAGAAATTTGCTTTATGCCAATTCTATTTTCAGTAATTACTTTATGTGTATTATAAAATATGGCAGTAATACGCACTTAGCAGCAGCGGGACCTTAATATTCTATTTATGTTGATGTTGTATATTCTATGTATACTGTATGTATATATATATAAATATGTGTTTATGTATGTATGTATGTATGTACGTACGTATGTATGTGTGTATATTTGTGTATATTATATATATATATATATATATATATATATATATATATATATGTGTGTGTGTATAATATATATAATATATATATATATATATATATATATATATATATATATATATATATATATATATTTGTATATGTGTATACATACATATATATATATATGTATATATTTATATATATGTATGTAAATGTATGTAAATTCATAATGTCTGTATGTATTAAATTCATTCCGGGGTAAACGACTTAAAATATAAAACCTGATATGTTACCCAGTTAATTTTTCCCCCTGGAAAAAGGGGTAGGGTTGGCGGCTTATTCCCTGCACACATCCCACAGGAATTTTCTTCGTCAAACACTACAAAAAAGGATAATAATTAATATAGGGTTTTTCTCTCATACATATTGACACAATTTCATGTATTACCAGATGCCTCAAGTAATGTTGAGGCTAATCTGCGCCTTTCTTCCGCCATTTCGGATTGGCCAGTGGGGAATTCGATGGTCGGAATTGCTGGAAATGTCTCTAGCAATGCTTTTGCCATCTGTTGAAAACATACACATATTAAAATGTTAATAATTATTTATTCAGAACCATCATCCTACCATTTTCTGTATCCATAAAGCATACAGTGGTGTTTTTTGTGCAACATGAACATAATAAAGTCATATACAATATTTGTACAAAATGACCGGTAGTCCTGTTATTGCATCGATTTCCCACAATTTCCAAAATCGAATCCACGGATGTACAAAAGTCACCCATGTCTTCACACTTCTAACATCAGGGAAAGAGACACTGACATTTTCGGCCCAGCATTAAGACACTTACGAGTCACTTTTGTCTTCTATTTGAAAGTTAAACAAGAAATAACAACAAATTAGTAACTATTCAAAATAGTGGGTTTCAAATATGGACTACTGGGCTTTCACTTTAAAGTAAAACTTTGTTATTACTTCTTCCATCCTTTTTTATTTGACACAGAGGTTACACGGTGTTCAATTTGAAATTAATTATTATTTGGACAGACAGGTTTGTGAAAATTACGTCATGGACTACTTTTATACATCGACATCAGGGGTACCCACTCCGTCAATCTGGGTAGATTGCGACAGACTGCACAAAAACACCCCACAAGACAAGCCTCTGTTTCAGCAGACACATTGTGAAAAGAGGTTATGAATGGCATTAACACATTACAGTTTTACAGAAAAAATGAAATATAATAAAATTTAACTGGGGAGGTGTTCCGGGCACGTCCCACTGGGAGGAGACCCTGTATGAGCTGGAGGAAGTGTGTGTAGATAGGGTGGTCCTGGAATTTAGGCTGCTGCCCCTCGAAAAAGAATGAATGGATGGATGGACTTACTGATTTACTATGTATTTTAGGTCAGTGCTTTCTGTAGTTTCAGCATGTGAACCACACAGAGAAAAACAAAGGGAGAGCAGGTCATGGCTCTGCTCCATGTGTTCATGCTGCAAAAGCATATTGGCACTCTGAGAGGAGTGCCTAATAGCTTTGCATGCAGGATCCACTCACCCCTTCCTGCTGTCATTCATGAAACAAGGACACAACGACAATGTGCACCAGTGGGAGCCATAGACTGTAAATATCAATGGACCTAGTCATGCCTATCTTTGGTGTTCAAACTACGTTTACCATCACTTGGGTTTTTTCTAAATGGCCACGAGGCAGGAAAATGTGAAAAAACGCATTTGCACAACCTTTACCTAGCACTAGCCACATTCTGAAGTCCACAGAGGCTACAAACTAAGTCTGTGCTATGAAAGATAGGAAATGGAAATAGTTTACCTTTGCCACAATGACTCCACAACTGTGGCCATCCTTCTGAGTTGGGTGGTTGATCTGTCCTCCTTTCCATGTAACAGATTCCCAGTCTCTTTTTCCATACACGTTCCGATGCATATTGAAAAAGTCTCTGTTGGAAAAAAAGGAAATTATTTAATACCAAACCTGGGAATTTTGAGAGCTTTTACTTTATTACTTATCTCCATTTTATTTATGACTTTATCTGATACATTTAATAAAATCTATCGTGCTGATAGAGCCTCAGACAGTAGAGTGGACCATCTAATGGTCATAGTTTAAAAGTAATAAAGTAAAGAGCTTGCAGGGAGCAGTTGTGTGTGCTCCCACACATGTTGTGTGGGCGTACAATTGTGTGACTTTGGGATGTGTAACCTTAGTTGTTGAGTTACGCAGTGATTTGTTTAGAATAAGCACTATAGAGCTGCATGAAAACCAAGAAAAAAAACGTTTGCTTATAGTGGCACAGGGAAAGGAGTAGAGTTGATCTACTCTTTGGGGATAACCCGGAATTTAGCAATTATAGTAATTACACCTTGCAAAAACATGTATTACAACAATAAAAATGTATTACAACAATAAACAATAAGATGAATAGACTTCTTGGGAGCTTATCATGAGTCATATACCTATGAATGTTCTATAAAGTTCTTTTTATCTGCAACCTCAGCTTTCACTGTAAAAAATGTGGTAGTCCTAAAGAATTTAGGCCACAAGCAATACACATTATTCAATTGAAGTGATGTGACTTTAAATATGTGACTGTACCGGACTTGTCTTGCTGCGAGACATGATGCAGCCAACTCCGTTGACACTGGAGCAGGGTCCAATAAGTACACAGTGCTTTGTGAAGGGTTTATAAACTGTGAAAAAAAGTTGGCATTTACTATATGTGTACCAACGGATTACAGATATACAAACAAATATAACTTACTAAGAGCTTCCAGTGGTTCTGGTTCTCATTTACAAATGAAATGATTCCCTCATATTGTCCAAGGTCCACCTGCAAGAATAAGAAATGTATAAAGCACGTTGTTTTAAAAATCTGGTAATAGACACTGTAAAAATTACACACTTTGCGTAGAGCGTGACGTCTGACAGCCTGACGGTCACCATACAGCATCACAGTTGCTGTGTAATGGCAAAGTATGAACATTTTTTGTTCCAGGTTGAATTGTCTTGCCCAGATCTGTAGTAGGGGTTCAATAACCCAGTGTTTTTCAACCACTGTGCCGCGGCACACTAGTGTGCCGTATGATATTGTCTGGTGTGCCGTGAGAAATTTGTCTACTTTGTCTAAAAATAACTGCATTCGCTGTTGACGAGCGGTGACTTGTTTTGAACTGTGGAGTAACCATGTAATACTTTTTCAAATCAGTAGATGGCAGCAGATAGCTAAGTACTGTGAAACTGAAAAATTGGATGCGACCACAGGCTGTAACAGGTCAGCATTGTGGCGAGAAAGGTAAAATTGGATGCGACCAACAAATGTGTGAGGGACCGAGACAAGAGCTTTGTGGCGAGTGAGAAGTGAAAGTGATAGAGACGTTTTTGAAAATGAATTATGCCGTTTCTGAACAGGATTAACATCCTCCGCTCTGCCCCGGGGCAGCTGTGGCCGCGTTGTAGTGGTTTAACTATGAAATGTACAATTTTTGTACAACAGCTCTCGCGAACGCACTTCTGAACTGGGTACCGAGCGCAGACCATAGTCGAGTGGACAGAACCACAGACATGCGGACCGGACAGAACCATGGACTCGCGTTCAGGACCTCCCGTGTCCCTCATCCAAAACTCCTGAATTTAAAGCTCGGTATCCTAAATTTTTTCCATGCACTAACAATGCATGTTCTTTGTGTGAGTTATTATTTGACTATTTGGGCAGAGAGTGGATTTTCTTAGTTTTTTTCCACACAGTTAGTGCCACTTTATTCCCAACCTCTTGTTAATTGTATCGAGAAATATTAAATAAAGCTTAATGTCAAGGCCAGGACTTAAGCATTTTGATGAGAATAATTGTATATTGTGAATATAGGCTACAGAGTATACTGTATACATTATCAGATAAGATAAGATATACTTTATATATCACACAGAGTATGTACAGTATATATTTTTACATTAGTACTGTATACATTTTTACATTTTCTCCTGGAGGTGTGCCGCAAGATTTTTTCAGTGAAAAAAGTGTGCCTTGGCTCAAAAAAGGTTGAAAAACACTGCAATAACCTGTGGTGGATATAACAAAGATATTTGCTTTAGATTTGTTGTTATTGTAAGAAATATTAAAAAAAAAACATTCATTTCAGTAATTACCTCTCCAACAAGCCATTTGTGGGGCTTCAGGGTCTGCAGGTCACTATGACGGATCAGAAAGTTGTTTCCTTGGACCTGTGAAGCAATTTGAGAAACTATTGCCTCACTGCTTCTATTTTTCCATAACCAGGTAAGCTGAAATTATAGTAATGGGATAATAATAACATAAGTAATTGTTATTGGCACTCAGTATACAGTATATATATTTCAAACATTAGTGCATAAAAAGATTTATTTGTTTGGCGCATTGACCCCGGCAGTGACACTGCAGAGGGGGAGATTGTCTGCTCCGGTAGATGATCTCAGACCCCCCAGGGTCAAGCACTGGTGGTGGCTAGAAGCATGGTGTGAATGGGGTGTAAGTGGAGCAGGAGCCGGAGCGGGAGCCAGAACCAGGAGCTGAGGAGGCGCTGGGGAGGTGGTGGGTGTTAAGAGCTCAGGAAACACTGTTTATCAGGGAGTGGCTGCTTTTAAACTGGCCGCTTTGCAGCCAGTGGGTTGTCGAGGGGCTGGCCGGGCTGTCTGATTGGCAGAGGCTCGAGAAGCTGGCAAGGCTGTGAGATTGGCTGGCCCTGGCGGTGAGAGCCGTGGCCAGTCTTTCAAGTTTGAACCTGCGCTTGAGCTTCATATATATATATGTACAGTATATATATATATATATTATATATATATATATATATATATGTACAGTATATAGATATATTTAGATATATATATATATATATATATATATTTATAGATATATATATATATATATACACACATATATATAAATAAATATTTATATTAATGCAACATTAGTGCATCAGATGTCAAATATTTTCTTTTCTTTTGTCTTCTTACCTGAGAGTCACATTTTGATTTTGCAGTTGGAGACACTTGTGTTACATTCCCAACGACACACAAAGCCTATGGACATGTCCATGAAAAAAAAAATTAGATTTCCAATTTTACACTGAAGTATTTCTCCATGTACATTATGTTTGTGTTCTGTATGCTTTTTATGCGCCATTTCTATAATTTTCTATCGTTGTTTTTCTTTGAGGCTTGTAAGGTAAAGGGGGCGTTAATAAGTGACAGTAATTTTAATTTGATGCACAATCAATACAAGCATATTGATTGTCCATGAAGGCGACCTGAATAGTTCGTTCCTATGACATCCTAGTTTAGTTTATCTAATGCGCTATAGATTTTGTTAATGTCAATGCAATGTCTTTGTCCCCATACTGTTAATTTTTATATTCTTTTTTGTGCACTTATTCAGTGTCGTAACTCTTTTTTTATTATGACAGTAGTTAGTATGATACTAACTCGTATTTTGGGTTAGAAAAAGGAAGTATAGGAAATTATTTAAAAAACTATGCTCCTGTTTGTATGTAATTTTTTTCAAAGCTTTGTAATCAGTCAGATGCCAAAATATCTGACATTCAATGGTTCTGAGAGATAGCCAGTTTTCTTACGGTACTGTCAGCTTTTGGTGATGAGTGGCAATCCACTTTGCAGGGACCTTCATTCTCCCCAAATTCCTTTAGTAACAAAAATCAGAATATCTTTTTTAGACGGACATTTCCTTTTATCTTTTTTCTAAACAAAAAAAGTGAAACATATATAAATAGATTTGCTTTTCAGTACTATAAAAGATCAAAAAAGGTTTAACTCTATGATACGATGCACTGGTATGAGGTATAATCAATACATAAAATTATCCATTAAAGAGAAATATGTATTTTTAACAATGTAACTACAGCCACGGGACAAATAGAATAGACACATTTTATCTGCAGTGCTTCTCTTTCTTGATTGATAACGTTTTTGGGGGAATTTGCAATGCAACCTGTTGCCAATTGTATAGTTTTTGCTTATTATTTATTTGTACTATTATATTTGCTTTTAGAGACTGAGAGGGAGAATGAGAGAGAGTCGGAGAAAAATAGAGGAAGAAAGAGCAATGGATGGATAGTTATTTGTCTAAGGAACACTTTTCTCCCCTGAAACAAATGATTAATGTTGTTGTCGTGTACCTGTGATTCATGAGGAGTTTCCAGCAATAAAAGTGTATCATCAATGTGATCTGGTGGCTTCGTGGTTTTCTTGATAGTCATGAAAAGTACACAGAATACTTCAAATAAACTTAATTTGCCATATATGATATAGAACAGAAGCCATTATAAAAACAAAAGTTATGCTTGTATATACGTTTTGGTGTTGAAATTATCAAAATGAGGTATTCTTATTATTTTTTGCCTTGTTTATTAAAGAATCTTTGTCAGTGTTGGATATCGCAAGTGTATGTTGTTACATCACAAAATGCAAGAACAATAAGGAATGCATTTTTTGTCAATATAATTAGTATATGTTTGACCATGTTCACATTGATATAGATGAATAAAATAGGGCACTCTCAAACCTCTACGCAACACAAGTCATGTTTTTTTGGCTTTATGTGGATCAGTGAAGATATCGCGTGGGGGTGTGTGTGTAATAAAAAATAATACAAATAATCTTTCAGAAAAAGTAAAAAAGGAAAGTACCACAGTGTTGATGTCTTTAAAAGACTGAGGAGTTGCTGTGAAACTTGTAAATGGGCGAACATAAATCCCTTTGCGAGAGTGTTTTTTTTTTTTCCATTTTTCAATGTCCACTTTAAATCTCTGAAACAAAGTATCACATTATTGTTCCCTTTTATCGTCATATATTGTTGGACTAATATTACATTTGTGTTCATTAAAAAAGGTGTGGTTACTTTCTTTGAAATGACTTTGGAGTCTGAATATTCTCTCAGGAGAGCATCATGCATTGTCTTGTAGCGTAGTACAAGGTCGTCAAGACGTGTAAAACGCCTTCACTGTAACCTGAGGTGTTTGAGGTCCCACTGTGATTTTTCCATTATGCCCTGTGTCCTGTTGTTTTGAGTGAAGTTCTGCCACACAAAAAAACGGTTTATTGCAATGACACAAAAATGAGCTTAGGCATTTCATAAAAATATAACTTACCTGAGTATCCAAGACGCTCACTTTTTTATGCATCCTGCTGAAATTCCGGTATGCATGCCCATCACCATGTCAACCAATGTCCCCTTAAATGCAATATCACATGCTTAATGGCTTAAATGTATCTCCATGAACCTAATTGTAACAGAACACTTACCAAGCATTAATCCCGACCACAAAGTAGCCTGAGGCAAAAAATATTTTGCCAGATTGGAAATAAATTCAGGGGCATGGTAATGATTATGTTCTCCATCCAGATCAAGCTTTGCATCATCAATGATGTCTTTGAAATGTTTGTGAAGGGGCGTGTCACACAGATCATTCTGAAGATCAAAATGACAAACATTTGAAATGCTTAAAAAGTAAAGTCCTTCAACACCTTTTTATGTCATTAACATAATGAGCCTCCTGAGCCTTTTGATGTCATTAACAATGTTTTTTTTTTATCATTAATATCTACTATCCTTATGCTTTTATGCCTACATGCATTAACAATGCAGTCAAAGTAGCATAATCAGTCTTAAGATGAATTTATATTTTGTTTGTCATTATCTCACTCATTCACACTGACTTATTGCTGATCATCTTTAATTACAGTTACTTTGTAGTCCTCCACAAGGACCATCATGTCAGATACAGCAGGTGACTGTTTCATTAGTTCCTGCAGGTTAAATAAGTGTTTCTGCACATGGTCTCCATTGCAAGGTGACGTGAAAACAACGGTGGCACTTAAAATAATTTCTTCCATTTCGGGAAGAGTGCTGCAGGATGCCAGGAGTCCAAATGTGTGCATGGCAAACTTAAAATGCTTTGGTATCCTGCAATTGAAAAGTAACATGTCACCTGTTTTCTATTGTTTACAGTACAATCAAAAATGTTCATTACTGTATTTAAGATACTTGCGTTTTTCGGCACAGGTCTTTGGCATTCTTCATGATGTGACTCAAACACCGGTGAATGATAGGAAAATCAAACTTTTTGGAGGAGAACTGGCCCGTAACAACCTTGTAATACTGCGTCTGGAGATGCTCAATTGACATCTTGCTAAAGGTGAAGGAAATCGATTGGAGCAGCACCACTGACCCGTCACAAATGAACATAACAGGTCTTTTCGATATCTGTTTCCCAAAGATGCGGACAGCATCGGTCATAAAAGCTTGTAAAAAATATGACACCGATGCTGTCGTGTGGTCACAGGTAACAAATGTGGCAATTGGCAGTGGTGAAGCTCCTTGGGATGGATTTCGAACAACAAGTTCGTAAATGTAAAATGTCTTTGCGCTTTTCCTCTGTAAAATGCTGCCTGTGGCATCCAGATACACAATGTCATTTTTGCATCTATCATTAAACACAGATATTGTTCGGTTGGACCACAGCATCACTCCTTTTGGGTATAATATTGCTCTTTGTAGCACGTCGCTGTCGTTGCCAGTTTGACTCTCAATTATTTTGAGAAGACTTTCCATTTCGTTGGTATGTGGGCGATTTATATTTTTTTCAGAACAAGATAGATTTTTCAGGACTTTTGGACCTGGAGCTTCATCCCTGCATCCAGAATCAAATACATTCTCCGAAATGGCTTCTAATTTGTCCAAGTAGAATCCTCTGGGAAGTCGAGTCTTTAATTGTTCAGCTATCTCTTTTCGAGCTTTTCCCCTAATAGGTCTGGTTTTTAACTCTTCCTTGCTGTGGCGTAATTGTCCGTCCAGTTTGACATGAGCCTTTAGAGTTGTCTCACAGTCCACTGCAACTTTCACACACACTGAACAGTCTTTAAAAGTGCAATATCCCACACAAGAAAATAATGGCACATCCCTTTTGGAGTTTAGTTGTCTGAGGCAATGTCGCTTAAAAGCAAAACTACACAAAGGTAGTATGCTCCTCAGACCACCAGCAATCATATTGATCCATTCCAGCCCTATGAATCCCCTCGATCCTCGGGACTGCTGCAGAGACATCCATTTATCTTTCTCTATAAAAAAAAAAACGGGTCTTGGGGCAATTGTGCGGTGTAAAATCCGTCCTTCTTCAAAGGGCACTGTGAATGACAAAATAAAATAATACTAACATGCATTCGAAACATTGTGTTGAGTCCACAGGAGTGACTATAATTCTTACCACAGTTTCTGGGTGATCCTCTGAAGATGCTTCTTCCTGGTGGCTTTTTTTCCCCAAAAAAGTCTGAAATGTGACATACAGAAATATGATATCATCACTGTCTCAGCTATGTGTATGGCAACCTGTGAAATTCCAACCTGTGAATGTCGATCTTCTTCAAAGGAAGACACAGACACTGCCTCAGCAGCCTGAAATGTAACGTACAGAAACATGAAATCATCACAGTCGCAGCTATGTGTATGGCAACCCATGAAATTCCAACCTGTGAATGTCGATCTTCTTCAAAGGAAGACCCAGACACTGCCTCAGCAGCCTGAAATGTAACGTACAGAAACATGAAATCATCACTGTCGCAGCTATGTGTATGGCAACCCATGAAATTCCAACCTGTGAATGTCGATCTTCTTCAAAGAAAGACACAGACACTGCCTCAGCAGCCTGAAATGTAACGTACAGAAACATGAAATCATCACAGTCGCAGCTATGTGTATGGCAACCCATGAAATTCCAACCTGTGAATGTCGATCTTCTTCAAAGGAAGACCCAGACACTGCCTCAGCAGCCTGAAATGTAACGTACAGAAACATGAAATCATCACTGTCGCAGCTATGTGTATGGCAACCCATGAAATTCCAACCTGTGAATGTCGATCTTCTTCAAAGGAAGACACAGACACTGCCTCAGCAGCCTGAAATGTAACGTACAGAAACATGAAATCATCACTGTCGCAGCTATGTGTATGGCAACCCATGAAATTCCAACCTGTGAATGTCGATCTTCTTCAAAGGAAGACCCAGACACTGCCTCAGCAGCCTGAAATTTAACGTACAGAAACATGAAATCATCACTGTCTCAGCTATGTGTATGGCAACCCATGAAATTCCAACCTGTGAATGTCGATCTTCTTCAAAGGAAGACACAGACACTGCCTCAGCAGCCTGAAATTTAACGTACAGAAACATGAAATCATCACTGTCTCAGCTATGTGTATGGCAACCCATGAAATTCCAACCTGTGAATGTCGATCTTCTTCAAAGGAAGACACAGACACTGCCTCAGCAGCCTGAAATGTAACGTACAGAAACATGAAATCATCACTGTCTCAGCTATTTGTTTTGAGAACGCAGTGTTTCCCACACATAGGCTCCACCGCCACGGATTCAAGACCGACCGCCACAGATTCCGTTGCGTTATTAACCCTCTAGGCGCCACGGTCCACAAGCTACGGTACTGTTTAAAACGAAGCATTACAAATAACATGTACAAAGGTCAGTCACGTGCATTACTGTTGTATTTTCTGGGGGATAGTAATATCTTAGTAAGTTTATTTAAAGGATTAATCATGAACATGCGCAATGACGCCTGTGGCTATACTGGGGTAGCACGCACAGCATCCAGTGCACCCTTAGCTACTCTGTGAACAATCACAGATTTACGGGGGTTGGACGTTGTAATAGACGAGCGCGGGTGGGCAACGGAGATTATGAGTAGAATGCAGTATGAGTGAGACATGAGACATATTGGCTCTTGTTATAGTCCGCGGTGACACATGTTTGTGGCAGACGCGCTTGACACTTGGCATGCTGGGAAATGTAGTATTCGCGGAAGTTTGTGGCTGCTACTCTGGAAATGTGCGAGTGTTTTTTTTGTAGAAAATGTATGTTTCATTTGTATTGTACACATAACTAAGATATTAAAAACAAAAATAACATTTTATACATTAATATACGTTTTTGAAGTAACTTGTCCAACAATGGTCTGTACATTCATGGTACGCACGTGTCTTTGTAATGGCCTTTCTAACGCTGTAGTTCACGCAAACACCCATCCCCCACTCAGTGTCCATTAGTCTACAATTACTACGACAATTTTCCATTAATACATTTGTGAGGATGTTCATTCTCGACACATTTTATGTCTGTATTGTAGCTGCGTGTGTCAGGTTACAAACACATTCAATTATATACTAAAGTAGGTTTATTAACAGGTAATATCAACTAAGGCCTATACGTGACAACTCTAAGTAAAACAAAATTTTAGGCAGGTGTACTTACCTCTCTTTCAGATTCATAATGTTGAATGTACAGTAAAGTGCTTTCAAAAATGAAGGCCTGCATTAATTGTTTAGTTGTCTGTCTCTCTGTCTCCTACACCACTGGCTCTGAATTTTCACGGTCACCCCGACTCTTTATAACCTAACCCGTGCGTGATTGGCTAGAAAAGCTATCAATCACTAATGGATAATTTGACTATACGGATTACACACGCAAATAATTGATCATATTTATTTGATCAATATCAATACATTATTTATTTATTTATTAATTTACTGATGAGAGTAGACAGTTTTTCTCATGGATTCTAGTCTTTAATAACTCATCCTTTACCAGACCTTTTTCAGATCAGGGAAGTATTCTTCCATTGTTTTCGTCCAAAAACAACTCTTACAGAAACCGTATAAAAAAGAAAAGTGTCTCCTGTCTCTCACTATGTTTTTATTGCAGATCATGTTATAGAACCATACCCGTTCCAGTTCTCACCCTTGCCCTTTTTAAAGCACCCTTGCCCATAGAATTTTCGCGTGCCCGCGGGGGTTGGCGAGGGCCCTCACACCCCTCAAAAACATCCTTGGCAAGTGAGCTCTGGATCTCAGTTGCACGCAAGGGTATATGCATTATTATGAGAATTAAGTAGCTGTCGGGCAAAGCCGCGCCACTAAAAGAAAACAACATACATGAAATACCAGGGCACAAGTTTGTGGCGAACGTGAGGAAGCTTCTAGGCATTTTGTTATTTAAGCCTGTGTTGCTGTATGTGGCCGTTTGTTCGCTCATGAATCGGCCGCAGCGTGTGGCGTTCGCTGCACGTAATTATTATATATCCAGGACTCTATGGAAAGTACACTCGTTGATTGACGGTCCTCACAACTTGAGGGCCCTCTAAATTGGGACCGGACCGATCCTTTGTACCCTCTGCTTATGTTTGACAATGCACTCTATAGGTGTCCACTGATTATTGCGTTATATAGTCTGGCGCGTCAGTAAGTGCCGCTTGTCAGAACTTGAGAAATACGTGTGTTAGCAGAGCGGATTATACGCAGTGTTTAACGTGTCAGCCTTAAAACTAGGGCTGTCAAAATTATCGCGTTAATTACAGTTTTCATTAACGCGTGAAAAAAAAATTGACGCATTAACTGCAATATTTTATCAAGCCAGCAGATGGCAGCATTGCTTCATGAATAAAACTTCCCTCTACTCGACTGGGGATTACAGGGGATCGAAACAAGCTAGAAAAAAAAGTATTTTTGCTGATGAAAGTAGACAGTCCATTCTTTTAGAATCTGGTTTTGGATTTCAGATCGTCATAGTACACAATATTCTGTGGGTCTTGAAAATTCAGTTAAAAACATCAGAAACTGGCAATATGGGAGAAATTAAAGCTGGGGTATCTACATTTTCCCTTTCATTAACAGCTCTTGTTGGTTGTGCCCAAAAGAAGGTTGTGAGCAAGTCAAACAGATTTAACTACATTTGGTATGAATAACAATGTGTCATTACATTTGATAATCTCATTTAACCTCAATTGGAGTGGATTTGAAATAGAATGTTAAAAATGTGATTAATCGTGAGTTAACTCACCATTACTATGCGAATAATCAACTAAAAAAATTAAAGCAACATAATGGATTTCTTTTGGTGCTTCACCAAACTCGTTAGCAGCCATTTATTCAATCACTCAACATTTTCCACAGGTGTAGGTGATCCTTAAATCATACAGTCACGCGAGACTGGGATGACGTCATATGGCGTTGACAACAAATAAAATGAGAGCACATCTCAACAACGTGTTTTGCAGTTAATGTTACTGAGAAAAATAGGCAAGGCAAGCAGGGGTGTCCAAACCGGTCCAGAAAGGGCCGCTGTGGCTGCAGCTTTTCTATCATACCCAACAGAAGTAGAGTAGACTCCACCCATTTCCTCAAATCTGCAGGTTAAGACTGAACTCTCTTGAGGAAATGTGTGGAGTCTGCTCTGCTCCTGTTGGGTCTGATAGAAAACCTGCAGCCACAGCGGCCCTTTCTGGACCGGTTTGGACACCATCATACACAAGGCAGCTCAAAGTGCTGAACAAAATGTAAGATGAAAATGTAGAAGCACTCAGTTGTATGCACAGCTAAACAGAACTGTTTTAAAAAAACGTGAGAGAGGAGGCCTGTCTCAAGGAAGATTGTTCAAGATTTTTACAGCATGAATCTGAAATGCAGCTCGTTTAGTTCGGACTCTGGGCACTAGCAGCAGTCCAGTCCCTGTGCTCTTCAGAGTCTGGGTCGGTTCTTATGGGACTAACATTAATGTACTTTGGTGCGAGGCCATGGAGAGACTTGAAACAAGAAGAGCTGTTTTAAAGTCTATTCTTTGAGCCACAGGAAGCCAGTACAATGACCTGAGGGCAGGACTAATGTGGTCATACTTCCTGATTCTAGTCAGTCAGAATCTCCAAGTCTGCTTTAGACACTATGTTTTTAACCACGGCAATGTTTTTAGGTGGTAAAAAGACGCTGATGTTATGGTCTAACAAGATGAAGATTTGGACTTTAGCTGCATCAGGGCTCAGCAGGATATCAATTGTTACCTTGACAAGAGCGGTCTCAGTTCTGTGGTGAGATTTAAAGCCGGACAGAGACATCAAATGAGTTGTTGTATAAAACTTCTTTTTTACTGTGCACTTGAGTATTAAACATTGAAAACCCCTGGTTTAGAAATCGTTTCTCGGGAAAGCGCTGTAACAACACCATCATATCCAAATCCTATGTATGTAGTGGTAGCAGTAGCAGTGGAAAGAGTCGTAGTAGTAGTGTTGTAAATCAAGGAACGACAAGATCTTTTCCCACCAAAGAAACACGAGAGTTTACTTTGTTGAGCAAAATTGTATAGGATTAATTAAAAGACAAATTGGGACAAATTGTGCACACTTTGACCCCCATTTTCTCTGGATTTCTACAGTAAAAGTGAATGATATTTTACACAGTGGTAGAGGGCATCCTGGTGAACAAGTGTGCAGTGAAATCAGTCAGGGAACTTTTTTAGATTTTTTTAAAATGAATTTTAAAAAGTGCTTTTGGGACCAAAATGGCACACTTTGACCCCCATTTTCTCTGGATTTCTACAGTAAAAGTGAATGATATTTTACACAGTGGTAGAGGGCATCCCAGTGAACAAGTATGCAGTGAAAGTAGTGAGGGAACTTTTTTAGATTTTTTTAAAATGATTTTTAAAAAGTGCTTTTGGGACCAAAATGGCACACTTTGACCCCCATTTTCTCTGGATTTCTACAGTAAAAGTGAATGATATTTTACACAGTGGTAGAGGGCATCCTGGTGAACAAGTGTGCAGTGAAAGTAGTGAGGGAACTTTTTTAGTTTTTTTTTAAATGAATTTTAAAAAGTGCTTTTGGGACCAAAATGGCACACTTTGACCCCCATTTTCTCTGGATTTCTACAGTAAAAGTGAATGACATTTTACACAGTGGTAAAGGGCATCCCAGTGAACAAGTGTGCAGTAAAAGTAGTGAGGGAACTTTTTTAGATTTTTTTAAAATGAATTTTAAAAAGGGCTTTTGGGACCAAAATGGCACACTTTGACCCCCATTTTCTCTGGATTTCTACAGTAAAAGTGAATGATATTTTACACAGTGGTAGAGGGCATCCCAGTGAACAAGTGTGCAGTGAAATCAGTCAGGGAACTTTTTTAGATTTTTTTAAAATGATTTTTAAAAAGTGCTTTTGGGACCAAAATGGCACACTTTGACCCCGATTTTCTCTGGATTTCTACAGTAAAAGTGAATGATATTTTACACAGTGGTAAAGGGCATCCCAGTGAACAAATGTGCAGTGAAAGTAGTCAGGGAACTTTTTTAGTTTTTTTTAAAATGATTTTTAAAAAGTGCTTTTGGGACCACTTGTGCACACTTTGACCCCCATTTTCCATGGATTTCTACAGTAAAAGTGAATGATATTTTACACAGTGGTAAGGGCATCCCAGTGAACAAGTGTGCAGTGAAAAGTAGTCAGGGAACTTTTTTATTTTTTTAAAATGAATTTTAAAAAGTGCTTTTGGGACCAAAATGGCACACTTTGACCCCCATTTTCTCTGGATTTCTACAGTAAAAGTGAATGATATTTTACACAGTGGTAAAGGGCATCCCAGTGAACAAGTGTGCAGTGAAAGTAGTCAGGGAACTTTTTTAGTTTTTTTTAAAATGATTTTTAAAAAGTGCTTTTGGGACCACTTGTGCACACTTTGACCCCCATTTTCCATGGATTTCTACAGTAAAAGTGAATGACATTTTACACAGTGGTAAAGGGCATCCCAGTGAACAAGTGTGCAGTGAAAGTAGTGAGGGAACTTTTTTAGATTTTTTTAAAATGAATTTTAAAAAGTGCTTTTGGGACCAAAATGGCACACTTTGACCCCCATTTTCTCTGGATTTCTACAGTAAAAGTGAATGATATTTTACACAGTGGTAGAGGGCATCCCAGTGAACAAGTTTGCAGTGAAATCAGTCAGGGAACTTTTTTAGATTTTTTTTAAATGATTTTTAAAAAGTGCTTTTGGGACCACTTGTGCACACTTTGACCCCCATTTTCTCTGGATTTCTACAGTAAAAGTGAATGATATTTTACACAGTGGTAGAGAGCATCTTATTGAACAAGTGGGCAGTGAAAGTATTCGTAAACCTCTTTTTGTTCTTTTTTAATGATTTTTTAAAAGATAAAGCATTTAGCTTTCTCGTCGTCACGGCTTCCCTTTCCACATTTACCGTAAGTAACAGCATAAAAGAGCCAACCGCATTCAAAGTGCGGACCTCTTTACCGCTCCCGACGAAATGCAGGGCCACTTTACCGCGGTTGTGCTCAGGGGATTCTCGCGGTACTGCAGACTGAACCAGACTAAATTCACGTGGGCTACTCAGAAATGTTCCCCATAGAACTCAATGCATATTAAAACAGCGCAACCTCAGCTGACAGAGAACCTACAGCTTTCATAAAGGTCTGATTTTGTGGGGATTTTAGTTAGTTTTGTTTAAACCCACACTTTAGTGCCACAAACTCTGCTCGTCTGGCTCTCGCTCTAACTCTCGCTTCGATGAACTGCTCAGATTGGTCAGAGCGCGGCCGAGCCCCTCTGTGCACGTGTGTGAGACCCACACACGCGTGTTTGGCGCAACGTATGGAGCTATTATTGTTTCAATAATATTTGTGTGTGCGTAAACAGATTTGTGTGTGCGTAAAAAGATTTGTGCGTGCGTAACCAGATTTGTGTGTGCGTAACCAGATTTGTGTGTGCGTAACCAGATTTGTGTGTACGTAAAAAGATTTGTGCGTGCGTAACCAGATTTGTGTGTGTGTAAAAGAAATATTTG